CTGCTGCTTTGTCGCCTCCACGGTTGCTTCCAAGCTGCTGTGGCTTCCACGCTAAATTTTGTTTTGATGACGCACGCGGCTGTAGGCTACGACACTGGTAGCTGGTGTTGCCAGATTGGGTGTTTTCCCCACTACATATTAAGGCCTGTTTACGGTGTGATTTAGCCGGGGTTTCGTCTGGAGGGCTCTATAGAAATTTGGCAACCTAATGAAAGAAGTTGAACTGAGAGAGCGTGCCGTTCACAGACACCAGAATGAACGAGTTCACAATAACGTTCATCAGGCAGTAATACAGTACGTTCAGTTCACGTTCACCTAAAATATGAACAAGTTCATGAACTTTCGTTCAATGAACACGTTCAGGCACAACACTGACTGTCGCTTCATGCTTGCTCATCATGGACAGTTCATGGTACCTGCATCACCAAGCAAGACCTCTACATCCTGAGTCTCTGAGTGAAGCCCCGATGTCAGCTCCCGTAGTCTCTGGTCCAACAATACAGCTCAAGCAGATCACCTCGTTAACCAGCTCGAACTAAACCACCACCAGTTTCAGGCCAGGGGGAACATCCCTATTCTCATTCATCTACTTATGCATGTTAAAGCATAATTCAGTATGAATGTTCCTGCCGAGGCCTGAGCGCCAAAGACTATACTTTCTTATCAATAAAATTCTTCTAATTATCTTTTCTCTCTGTGCGAGTTTTTCAGATTGAACTGCTGCTAGCTTTAATCACATGCCTGGAAGATGTCTAGTGCTACTACCACAGATGATCTCGCTCTCGAAATGGAATTGAACGATTTAGATTCGCTAGCCGAATGAATATAAAGGGTAGAGCGTAGCCGGCAGTGGCCTGGGCTGCCTGTCACAACTCCAGTCCGGCACGTGGATGACGACTTACACACTACGCTTTGTTTTTAAAAAAGATATAAATATAAAAAATATTACTGCGGATGTCTGGGGGACAGTGATTCGCCTACATGTTATGAATGCTGGCGTACCATAAAGAATAAATTATGAACAGTTTAGACGTTCATAACATTACTGGATATAACCTAACGGAATATCTTCAGAACAGCTCCAAATGACACAAAACTCATATGGGTGAGTAGAAAATGATGTAATAACGTGCAAATCAAGGTCCCAATGTAAAAAAAAGAAAAAGGCGTTTACCTTTAAATATTGGAATGTAATAAACTACAATCTAATCTAAGGGTTACCTGTGGAGTAACCAATTCTCTAAATTATATATATATATATATATATATATATATATATATATATATATATATATATATATATATATGCTCCCAATCAGTAGAATTATTAGACAGCATGGGATTAATTTCCACTGTTAAGATTATGATACTTAGCTATATCTGTCTATAAATCCAGATTACTACAGGCATGTCTTGAGGACAAAAACCTGAATGACTCCTAACTTTCTACTTCTGAATGGAGACAAAACTGAAGCTATAGTCTTTGGACCAGAGTCTTTGAAAAAGAAGCTGATTACTGAGTCACTTTCTAGAATTTCCTTCTTTCATCTATGCAATATTGCAAAAATTAGAAACTCCTGTCCAGGAGTGATGCTGAGAAACTAGTTCATGTATTTGTTACTTCAAGGCTGGACTATTGTAAATCTTAACTATCAGAAAGTCCACAAACATGCTGTAGTCTGCTGCAGCCAGAGTTCTGATGAAAAGAAAAAAGTGATGTCTCTCCTATCCTGGCTTCTCTTCATTGGCTTCCTGTTAAATCCATAATAGAATTTGAAATCCTCCTTCTTACATATAAAGTCTTGATTGGCCAAGCTCCATGTTATATCAGAGATCTGATTGTTCCTTATGTTCCTAACAGAGCACTTCGCTCTCAATCTGCAGGTTTATTAGTGGTTCCTAGAATTTCTCAAAGTAGAATGGGATCTTTTAGTTATCAGACTCCTTTCCTGTGGAACCAACCAGTTTTAGTCTGTGAGGCAGATACCTCATCTACTTAAAGGCTAGGCTTAAAACATTCCTTTTTGATAAAGCTTATAGTTAGAGTGGCTCAGGTTATCCTAACCTATCTCTATAGTTATGCTACTATAAGCTTAGACTTCTGGAGGAAATAGGGACCCCTTTTTCATCATTCTGCTTCATTCTATCTCTATTCTCCCACTCTGCAGAATCTGTTGTTCTTTCTTCTTTTCTCATAGTAGCTTCACATCATCTGTTCCAGTTTGGCTGTAACACCATCCTGCTGCCAACAACACCTTTGTTTGTAGATGTTCGAGATCAGCCTGTTTTTCAGTGTAGTACTGTGTTTCCTGGATAGTTCCTTTTACAGTTGCCTTTTGTTTGTAGGCTTCTGTCTCCTTTAATCCCAATCGGCCTCAGCAGATGGCCGCTCACACTGAGCCTGGTTCTGCTGGAGGTTTCTTCCTGTTAAAAGGGAGTTTTTCCTCTCCACTGTCGCTACAAGCATGCTTAGTGTGAGGGATTGCATTTGAGTCAATGAGTCAATGCAACCGGTTTTATCTTAGATAGAAAACTTTGAATCAATTTGACTGTATGATCTGGTGAACTGTAAAGTGCCTTGAGATGACGTGTTGTTAATTGGTGCTATATAAATAAACTGAGGAATTAATAGAATTGAAATTGGCTACCAATAGATAACTAAGGAGCCCCACTGTACAAATAATCGACCAATAAATAAACTTATTTTCTAATACTGCTACAGCACATACAGTGAGGAAAATAAATATTTCAACACCTTGCTATTTTGCAAGTTTTCCCACTTCATGAAATCATGGAGGGGTCTGAAATTGTCATCGTAGGTGCATGTCTACCCTGAGAGACATATTCTAAAACAGAAAATCAGAAATCACAGTGTATGATTTTTTTTATTTCTATGATACAGCTGCAAATAAATATTTTAACACCCATCAGCTAGAATTCTGACCCTAAAGACCTGTTAGTCTGCCATAAAAATGTCCACCACTACTCTATTTATTATCCTAAATTAGATGCACCTGTAATGAGTTAATGAGGCATCTTGAAGCTTTTCGACACATTGCCAAACTGCATTGATGCTTTCTCAGGTGATACTGACGCCTGCTGGATAATTAAATACACTACAGGCAGCTTATTTGACAGACTACACTGAATTGATTTGATGACCTAGTGCAACGATGTAGTTTAAATTCTTGTAGGTTATATCAAGGTATATATCATTTCATGTCTTTGTTTAAATTGAAATATCTTAGGTATTTCTAGATGCAGCCAATAAAAAATGTGAACATATATCACAACATGAAAATTTGGGGGTAAATGTGAATGAGGATACTCGTGGACTAGTTTTTTTTAATCATAATTTGAAAACAATAATTATAGTAAAAACAGTAAATAAACTAAGAGTTAATTTGAAATTAACTTTAATTCAGATAAGTTGACGGCTGAAATTCCGAAGTTCCTATTATTTGTAATAATATTAATGCATACAATATTAATATTAATTGTATTAATATTAATTTTAATGATAAACCACAAATAAAGGGAACATTTTTTTTTTTAAGCAGATGCATCATGTTGGCGGAAACGTTTTTAAACACAGTTTAGTGTGTCAGACAGAAACAACTCCTGTATCGGTCACGACTTTTTTGAAACGGCACATGCACTGATGCAGCATTTTGCTCAATGTGCTCAATGAAGGCACCAACGCCTTGGTGTTGCTGGACCCATCACTACTAAGAACTACTAACATAACCAAGACCAAATAGCTGTCCAAAGACAGAGACACAATTGCACACCTCCACATGGCTGGAAAGTGCTAAGGGGAAATTGCCAAGCAGCTTGTTGAAAAAAAAGCCCACTGTTGGAGCAATCATAAAATGGAAGAAGCTAAACATGACTGAATCTCCATAGGACTGGGGCTCCATGCAAGAGGGGTCTCAGTGATCCTAAGAAAGGTGAGAAATCAGCCCAGAACTACATGGGAGGAGCTGGTCAATGACCTGGAACCACCGTTTCCAAGGTTACTGTTGGTAATACAGAGACATCAGGATTTGAAATCATGTATGGAACAGAAGGTTCCCATTCTTAACCCAGTACATGTAAAGGCCCATCTTCAGTTTGCCAATGACCTTTTGGATTATCCAGAGGAATCATGGGAGAAAGTCATGCTGTCAGAAAATCAAACCAAAATAGAACTTTTTTTGTCATAATTCCTCTTACCATGTTATGAGGAGGAGGAATGATGAGTGCCATCCTTTCTGTGGAGCATGGGGGTGGTAGCATCATGCTTCAGGGGTGTTTTTTTGCATAAGGGACAGGGTGACTGCACTGTATTAAGGAGAGGATAGCCGGGACCATTTTGATGGTATTGTGAGTTTTTGGGGAATAACCTCCTTCCCTCAGAGCATTGAAGATGGGTCGAGACTGGGTCTTCCAACGTGACAATAACCTGAAGCACACAGCCAGGATAACCAAGAAGTGGCTCTGGAAGAAGGATATCGAGGTTCTGGTGTGACCTAGCCAGTCTCCAGACCTAAACCCAATAGAGAATCTTTGAAGGGAGCTCAAACCCTGTGTTTCTCAACAACAGCCCAAAAACCTGACTGAATTAGAGAAGATCTGTGTGGAGAAGTGGGCCAAAATCTCTCCTCTAGGGTGTGCAAACCTGGTGAATAACTAGAGGAAAGGTTTGACCTCTGTAATTGCAAACCAAGGCTACTGTACCAAATATTAACATTGATTTTCTCAGGCGTTCAAATACATTTGAAGGTGTATCATACAAATAAATACTTAAAACAATGTATTGTAATTTCTGGATTCTTTATTTTTAGATTAAGTCTCTCACATTCGATGTGCACCTACAATGATAATTTTAGAGCCCTCCATGATTTCTAAGTGGGAGAACTTGCAAAATAGCAGGATGTTGAAATTTTTATTTTCCTTGCTGTAAATACCAATATCACCAGCTAATGTATCTGTACATCTCTACAAAACAACACAGAAGGTAGCATTTTTATTAAAAATCTTTATTCCAAAAAAGCAAATAAAAAAAAATGAACATTAAATATCAATTCATCTTGACAGCAGTGTGCAACTACAGAACAACAGACAGGAAGTCGCAAACCTGAAAACAGAAGAAAAATGTTTGATATAAACAACATGTTTCATCAGGATAATTTAAGCTTTTACTCATTTTTGTTGTTTTCAACAGATAAAATAGAAATGGTGCAATGGCTGGAGTTCTGAGCCCTTTAGTCAAAAACCATAATTCATGGAGAACCTGATAATAACAGGAGTACCTTGCAGCTTATCATAAGGCAGGGATGGCTCTCTGTGTTGGAAGTTACAGTGAAAACAGGGTTGTGTAGACAGTTTTCCATGTGCTCCGACACCCTGGACTCCAGAAAATGCTGCAGGACATCTGGGGTGATGTTCTGCCTCTGAGCAAAAGCGAAAAAAAAAAAGTAGTAAAATTCGTTTCAGTTAATTTCTACAACCTTAGTTAAACTCTACAATACAGGCTGCAGTGACAGACCTGTCTAGTTAGGAAAACTAATTGAAAGTTTTTTTGATAAGCATATTTCACATGAAAAACAAAACAGCTGCATAGACAGTATTTTCAAAAAATATATTCAACTTAATAATCCTTCCTCGAAACTTTGTCAAATTGAACAAACTGGATTTTTGTTTTCTCAGTCAGATCAGTTAGTGACCAACAATCCAACTGAACCACATGTCCTGGTTAATGTTTATCTACATACTTTAGAGAACCCTCCAAATAATCTCTACATCTATATTCCACCTATTATTCTGAGTTTAAGCACATTTCTCTGAAAAAACAAAAATTGAGATGGTGATGCTTTTTTTTTTTAAGCCAAGTTTTGAATGGATGGTAAAGATAAAAGCTGGGATGGTAAGATGAGCAGAAAAGTCATGTCTGAAGATACTGATCTTTCTCCATGCTTATCAACAGAGAGAATCAAATTCTATCCTTTCCTCGACTCTGAACATCATGATATTCATATGACACGTTGTTCCATCATGCCTAACACAGCCACAGATCCTAACTACACAGCCTAGATTGTTTAAAAATGATAAAATATCAAAAAATTTGGAAAATGTTCCTGCTGTTGTAACTTAAATAAACATGAGTTAAATTATGAATTAATAATTCTAATTATTAATCAATTGAAAGAACCACACATCTGAAAACTATGCATACTAATCTGTATAATTTTGGTGTGTGGATGTACATGTGAGCTGTGATACAATATGTAGAGATTATGTTTTTATTTATAATATAAGATCAAAAAAGCAAGTTAGATGTTTTAGAAATGTATATTTTTCCATTTAACTGTTTGTAAAATAGGTATGAAACAGTAAAAAAAAATGGGCGTCATGAAGCACATCCACACATTGGCAAACTGTACTGATACTGTGTCAGTGAGTACTGACACCTGCTGGACATTTAAAAGCACTACAGGCACATTGACAGACTAAACGACACTGATTAGTAGACCTATATTAAAATCTTTGTTTGCTTTAATGAATCATTTCATATTTTCCTTTAAATTGAAAACATGTTAAATATTTTCAGATTTTTAGACAATTCATAAATTTGAACAGATAATGGGAAAATAGGAAGACGTTACCTGGATATAACAAAATCGACTAACTTCAGGACGGCTCCAAATGACACAAAACTAATATAGGTGAGTAGAACATGATGCACTATTCCCTGCTTTGCAATAGATTTATACACAATTTGTGATTAGATTAGATAACTAAGGTCAAAAAGTGAAGCTTCCACATTTCTAAAACATTTATTTCACTGCAAGAGACTTAGGAGGAGCTATTCTTATTTTCCATAAAAAAAGCATATTTAACTTAAAATGGAGTGCAACAAACCTTAGTGTTGATGTAAAGTCCACAGATGCAGGAGATGAAATAGCTGTTGATGTTCAAGTTGTTCCTATAAGATTTAGAAGCAAGTTAAACCTGGGCTACTGTCTGAGCTGCAGCACAAAACGATTCTCAACAACATGAAAACTGGATTATTGAAAGATTTAAAATGTGGTTGCTCCGAATTTCTCACCTGTGACATATGGGACAAATAACGTGCACCTCACCCATTCCCTCCACAACAGATGATATGTACTGTTGTTCAAACTGCTGGTTCCTCTCATACTCTTCAATTATAGAGATTTCTGGAGCAAGAAGAAAAGAGCAGACAGCTTAGACAGGGACCAGACAGACAAGCTATCTGTAAAGAATAGTTCACTCCTCGAAAACTGTTCAATGTTTTCTCCTGTTGAAACCACAAACATCCTGATTGATTTTTTTTTTTTTTGTGGTTTCCTGATACCAGAAGGATTATATTTGTGAAGTGACAGAGACAGAACGGTTTTAAATCCTCTTAACACCCACCAGTTAAACTTTTACCAATATACACATCTTTAGAAAGCTCAGATTCTCCACAATGCCACTGACAAGTTCATTTTACGTACACCATAAGCACCAAAGCACAATTAATAAAGATATAGCAGCGTATTAAACCAGATTTTTTTTTAAATAAAGCTTCTGCTTCCAACCTTTAGGGAGATCCAGAGGCCACATTATAAGTCCAATCTTAGAGTGTTTATATTCCATTTTACTGTAAGGGTCCACAGTATTCATAATTAAAACATTCCATGATGAGAAAATCACCACAATCAATCCTTTTTTACCATCAGAAAAGTTTGATCTCTATACCTAATGCTAACCGTCTCGCTAATTACCGTAGCTTCCGCAATTATTTCCAGTCGATGTTTGTTTTCATCACCTTCCAGCCTAAAAAACAAAAGCGTCACCATCGATTTCTGTTGAGAATTGACTCCAGTACAGCCCTGCATATCTAACGAGCGTTCCCCATCAGCCGCTGCAATTAGCAAAATTTGGCAATGTAATGACAAATGTCTACAATCAAGCATGCCTTTGTTAGTGCTATTCAAAAAATTATTTTTGATTTGCCAAACTGTATTGATAATGTGTTGATACTGTCTCACAGAATACTGACACCTGCTGGAGCATTAAAGACATTACAGGCAGCTTATTTGACGGATTAATGGATTGATTCTACGACCTCGTAAAAAGATATAAGTTATAGTAGGTTAGATTGTATTATTTCATATCTATGCTTAAATTGAAAATATCTTATATTTTTATATGCAGCAAATAAATAATGTGAACATCTACCACAACGTGAAAACTTAGGGGAAAATGAATGAGGATGCTTGTGGACTAGGATTTTAAATCATATTTATAAAACAATAAGTACAATAAAAACAGTAAATAAACTAAGAGTTAATTTGACATCAAATTTAAATCAGTGAAGTTAATTGATAACAGAGAGGAAAAGGATGACGCAATGAGAAAATTGATACAAACACGCAAAGGCTGAAACGTTCCCATTCCTTTGAGGCTGCTCTAAAATTCTGGATAATTTTAATGATTTCTTTTTTAGCAGATGCATCATGTTGACAGATACATTTTTAAACACAGTTTAGTGTGTCAATCAGTTAGAAACATCTCCTGTATCCCTCACATGGCTCCCTTGTGACGACAAGCTCATCAATACAGCGTTTTGCTCTATGGGCTCCACATATGCACTGACGCATCGGTGTTGCTGGACCCATCGCTACCCTAAACCCCACACTGCTCCCCGGGCGCCAGCCAATAGCAGCCCACTGCTCCCCAAAGGGATGGGTCAAATGCAGAGAGTGAATTTCCCCATTGTGGGACAATAAAGGGATTTAAGCTGGTGAAGATTCTCAGTAATCCAGGTCATAGTCATTCCAAAAAGAGAAAATTAAAAACAATCCAGTGGACTTTGTTTCTATGTTTAAAGATGTTTTGCTTCCTATCCAGGAAGCTTTTTGAATTCAAATGTCAAGAATAGTGTTGAGTTCGAGGTTTTACATAGTAGCTCAACAAAGCTTTGTTTTTGTTTTGAAAACATGCATATTGAACTTGACGAAGGGCTCCGCCCCCTTGGGATGGGGGTTGCTTGGTTTATTTTGTTGCCCGTCTGACCCCAGGCTCACACCGACTCCGGTCTTACCGTTGCGGTGCGGTGGGTGCGGCGCCGCAGTGATTCCAAGTCATTGAAAAGACGTAAACCTCTCTCACCGGCTGCTGAGCTGTCCGGCTGCGGTTACCGAGACACTCCGGCGCTGCAGAAAATTCCGCAAGAAAGCTATCCTTGCAGCGTGCCGGAGAACCTCCGCAACAAGCTCTCGCAAATATCCTTATTTGGGCGTGTTATCTCGTGAAGTTACGTGAACTCAAGTGAACTTCTGTTAAATCTCCGGACCTGTTGCCGGAGCCGCAGAGCCGCACCGCACCGTAGTCAAAAGGGCGGTGTGAGAGGGGGTGTGCGGGAGTTGCGGTCTCTGTCGGCTCGGTAACCGCACCGGAGCCAGTGTGAGCAAGGGGTAAGGCTACGTTCACACTGCAGCCTGAAGTTGCCAATATGCGACCTGCATCTGATCTTTTCATCACAGTCAGAAATACACAGATCTGATTTTTTCCAGTGCGACCCAGGCCACTTTGCTATGTGGTCCTGAATCCGATACGAATCTGATCTTTTCAAATGCAACCTGTGTCTGAACAACCAGGTTGCATCCATCAGACCTGAATGTCATTAATATCCGACAGTGGTCACTCTTCTGCTTCTTGCTACGCAGAAGTGGCAAGAAAAACAGCAAGGGTGGACGACAATGCGAAGAGTAGTATTTAGATTGAGTTGTTAAAGGAATAGTACACCCAAAACATGATTAGCCTTCATTTTCTACTCACCCCCATGCTGAACAACACCTTGGAGTACTTTTTTGATATCTCAAATGCATCTGGAGATCTGGGAGGCTTCTTGCTGTCTGCTGACATTCAAATAATGGAGGTGCCCAGCGCCCGAGGCAGAAAAGTCCATAAAAGTCCACAAAAAACGTGTCAATGTTCCTCCATACTGCTCGTCCAATGTATTCCAAGTGTCCTGAGTGGGTAGCATTCAGAATTTACTCGAAACGAAGTTATTTGGAAGTTTTTTGAGAGCATAAACAGTAGTGTATAGGATTTCCTGAAAGCCCGTTCATGACGCTACGGAAACCGCGGCAGACCAAGCCAGATGAAAGTGCGCATTCAGCTCGGCAAAGAACTCATGCTCTTCCTCAACACTGAAGTCCTCAGACATTTTTCTTTCGTTGTTTCTTTCTTTGCACAGGTAAACGGCACATTTCTTCTTCTACGCTTGCATTATTGGCAGAGCAGACGCTGAATGCGCACTTTCATCTGGTTTGGTCTGCCGGCTTCCGTAGCGTTGTGAACGCGCAGGGGCGCGCTTTCGGGAAATCCTATACACTACTGTTTATGCTCTAAAAACATTCTAAATGACTTCGTTTCGAGTAAATTCTGGACGCTACCCACTCAGGACACTTGGAATACATTGGACAAGCAGTATGGAGGAATATTGACACGTTTTTTGTGGACTTTTATGGACCTTTCTGTCTCGGGCACCATAGACCTCCATTATTTGAATGTCAGCAGACAGCAAGAAGCCTCCCAGATCTCCAGATGCATTTGAGATATCAAAAAAGTACTCCAGAGTGTTGTTCAACATGGGGGTGAGTAGAAAATGAAGGCTAATCATGTTTTGGGTGTACTATTCCTTTAAGGTTGGGAAAGATCGCTACATGCGCTCCATCCATGTTTACTTCCGTAAACACGGAGCATGCTGGCCTGTGACGTCATTGCGTCCTCTACTGCTCATGCGGGACACTTAGGTTGTATAAATGCAGTTCACACAGGAGATCACATACAAGTCGCATATATGTGGAAATGTGAATAGCAATGCAAAAAAAATAAAATAAACAGATTTCACAAAAAAAAAAAAAAAACCGAGGGCCTTCAGTGTTAACATAGCCTCAGTGTCTGAAATGTTGCTCGTTAAAGGAAATAATTGGCCTTGCTGGATAGGCGAGGTCCTCTGCTCTCCTGTACAGCAGCTGGGGCTGCGATTATGGTGGGGAGGAACTCAATTACTGCATTGTAGATTTTAGAAACCTCAGTCCAACCCGTGTTTAAGGTTGTTTTTTCTTTCTTAACATGTTAAGATCACAAAAGCTGGTAAAGACACGCCCTCAAAGACCTGCAGCTTCAACACCAGCAGAACCTTTCATTGTGCTTTTCCACATCCCAAATATAAACGCTCATAAAACACATACAGACTGTGGTACTGATGTGAATAAATGAACGCGTGAATATCAGCGCCTTGCTTGGAAAGTTTAAAATATTTGTTGGTCAGAGGAGCATCATAAATGGATCACCTTGGTTCATGAGCTCCTGTTGGATTTCCTCCAGCACCGCCACTTCATCAAACTCCTTTGCAAAACTTAACATCTGTAAAAATGTTAAACAATAATAAATAAAATCGGGACATCTGCACGTGTTCTTACAGACAGTTCATGTGTGACAGTGCTCTACCTCTGCCATGCCATTAGGGCCCCACAGTGAGGGGAGCCTGTGGTTCTCTGACTGCAGGGCGCTCCATTCTTCCTCCATCACCTCCTGGACGATAATGGAGCCTCCTACTCTGCTCCGCGGCTGATCTTCTCCCAGCTGTCGGTATCTATCCAACAGCTTGAAGCGGCTGTTCTTCAGCCTGTCCACACAGCGCTTTAAAAACACAAGCAAAGACTGTCAACATGCTAAGGAGTTGAGCTAACATAATCATTTTTATGTGAACCTTTCGGTAGGTTTCCTTCCATGGCGGCGTGGTTCCTTTGTAAAGCGAGCGGTGTTTGTGCAGAGCGTCCATCAACAGCCTTGTTAATAGAGGACAAACATTTACATTTTAGGCAGGCTGAATTAAAGAACCGGGAAACCTCTCAGACAAGACATTACAGCTTTTAATGAGCTGCCCCGGAAGTGAAGGTTGGCTATCGCGAAAGACATTGTGGGATATGTAGTGATGTAGGACTCCAATCAGTCAGCTCGAAACAGCGGCTCTGTTCGAATTCATGGGCTGCATCCTCCAAGGACGCGGTCTACCTAGACTGGATCCTTCAAAGTCCGTGAAAATAAGGAGACCGGAGGAGTTTTGTCTTTTAATATAAACAGATCCACCCTTCGGCGGGTTTTACCGCCGTAGGCTATGGTGCTGAGCAACCGTGACAGTTGACACACAAAGCAGGAAAAGAATGAATACCGAACTTCTCAAAACTTTTTCTTTATTTCTTTTTTATCGTAAAGTGAACAAAGACTACATTAACAAGAATCCAGAGTGGAATAAAGGTGCCACCGGGAGCATGAACAACTAAAATTAAATGTCATGATAGAAACCTTAGTCAGTTAAATAACATGCTGCTTTCATTTTGCACATCTCTGATGTTGCTGCTATTTTCAAATATCCATTAGCCTACTGTAAAAATGCACATAGCTGGATATTTGTTAATTATTCTCCAGGTGCACAGTTTTATAGTTTGTTTAAACACTTCACGGTATTTTATTGTTTATATTTTAACTCTTCCCTATATGTTATTCTTAGACATTTTTCTAAGGTCCAAGGGCGTAGGTTTGATTTCAGCTTTGGTAGGGACACTATTGGTCTTCAGTTTCATTGGTCTGATGTCATTGGTCCTTTGCAAAAATATGCATGATCTTTTTTTATGCTTAATTTTAGCATCAGGGCACATTTTGTTTAAAGAGAACAGCAGCATTTCTTCCTACATCAATACAAATCTTACAAGCGCTACACGCACTATATGCTGTTTATCAATGTTTAAAGCATCACTGGCTCTGATGAATGTGAAATTAGGACTTTATTCCACTTTGAAAAGGTTTTCATTTAAACTTACCAGTGCCCATTTAACCAAATATAGTCTAAATATTCCTGCTATATGTGGATTTATCCTGTGTTTTCTTTTGAAGATATAGAATTGTGCAGCGGTAAACAGAGGTAAAACCCACTCTTATTTATTTTTTTAATTCTGAAATGCTCTCTCTGTATCACTCAAAAAAATACATTAACGGGACAGCAAATAAATTGTATTTACATGTGCACGGGGATATATAAGAGGAACTGACACTGAGCATTTAAAATATTAACTTCACTATACAAGTTCTGCATATGGGCTGTAGTTACTCTGTGTAGCCCATATCATGTATTTTATCTAGGGCTGAAACAATCATATTAATCGATTATTTAAATAATCATCAATTTAGTAATTGATTACTCATTAACCGGAGTATAGGGCCACAAAAATGTGCCTTTAGCTGGCAGAGCGATCCACTTCGAGCAGGAAGTATACCAAGATTGTAAAAATATGTAAAGATGTTGCATTTAAAAAAAAAAAAAAAAAGTTTTTGTCTGTCAATATTCTCCATCCAGAACTCCTCAAGAGGAAAGGTTTGTTTCACCTGGTTTAATTTTGTTAAAAAAAATCTTCTTTAAGGAACCTTTGGCTATTATTAATAGATTCATCGAAAAAATAAACCGATTAATCATTTGCAAAGTAATCGTAAGTTGCAGTCCTAATTTTATGTTAACATTCCAAACACATTTCTTAATACAGCACTGAAGGGCAGCTGCTTCAACCTGAGGCTGCCCTGCATCATTATATCTGGATTTTCTACAATCATATAATGTTTCTATTATACATGTGGGTTTTTAATATTAAAGGATTAAATGTAACTACCTTTTATCATCGTCCTATATTGCTTACTGTCTGACTTTTTAAATAGCGCCTTATGGCTATTTTCTTTTTTAATGGCATCATCTACAAAGCACAACACTAAGAATAAGAATAAGCCTAAGTTTATTCAAATATAAAATCCCTTTTAAAAATTATAAAAGAGAATTTAAAACTACTTATCTGTAATGTAATAGTAACCAAAATAAACAGCCAGATTCAAGCATTATTTAGCAGACATTAATGTTTGTACTAATTTACTTATGGACCGTGTGGAAATCTAAAAAAATTGAATCAATGTAAATAGTGTTCTTCTGTTTGCCTTTATCCTATTTCTAGAAGTAGAAGTCAATTAAATAGAACTATTTTTATGTGGAAAACAAAAAATGACAGATATTTAGCATCCTTCTTTTGTAGTTATGTTCTACAAAAGAAATAAAACCTGTTATTTATACCTGAACTGCCGTCAAAAATGAAAACAGAAATAGCAAAGAAATATTGGTAAAAGGGAATCAGAAATCTTGATAGCGTACAGTCTTTGTTCGTTTTAACAGCAGTTTTCAGAACTCCTGTCTGACTCAGAATATTTAGTTTTAGAAAAGAAATCCTAACGTTGGTTACTTAAATTTAAGTTCATCAAATCCAAACCCTCTCCTGCTTCTTTACAGAACTGCAATCAGAAGCTTTCCACTGTGGGACACTAAAGGGATTTTCTATAATAGTCTATAAAAGGAATTGTGGTTTCTGTACAACTCAATTGGAAACTACTGATCATTTGTTTTATTACGTAATGTAAAGAAGTAAGAAACCTACGGGATCAACTTCAGATCTTTCTATCTTCTAGATCTATAAATGTGGACTTTAACTCCTTACAAATAATTCTGTTTGGTTTACATATTCATGAAAAAAGGTGGAATTCTTAGTTAATACTTTGATGATTATAACCAAATATTATATCCATAAATGTCGTTATGCAAAATGCTTAACCAAGCAAGCAAGAATTGGTCTCGCAATTAATCCTGGGAAAACCAAGGTTACAGAGGATACATCGGACTCGTCCTTCAATCGGGCACAAAGAAAGAAGCATTTTAAGGCAGCATAACGAGGAGTCTTGGAATCCAAACAGATCTCGGTGCAGCGCTATGATGTAATCGTCCTTCGAATCTGGCCTTCTGAGGACACAGCCCATGAATTTGAACAGGGCCAGCTTCTATCTTTTTTAGGCTGAGGTTTTGCCAGGAGGTGTTTCGACCTCACCTCCTTCACGTGACGAGGGTTCATTATCTCACATCTCCATTCGAGCTGCGCGGGAAACTCGAATAATCTTACTCGTTACTTGTGAAGTAGTTAAATAGCAAGGTTTTGATAGGAGGAGATTGTTTTGTTAGCAACGTTATTATTGACATTAATAGTTTATATCTGAGACAGAGAAAGTATATTTAGGTATAGTTTCGAATTGATTTTGATTAGGTTAGTATAGTTTAGGGAAAAATGAAAAGTTTAGGGAGGAGCTCTGGTCCAGTCCTTCCTGCCTACAGCAACACCTAGAACAACAAAAAAAAAAAAAAGAAAACTCTATCAGTCTGTCTGTAGTGATAGATTACAAAGAAAGGGAGTGACGTGTGGTTAACAGTAGATAAACAGGAGATATTAATAGGACAAAAAAAAGACTAAAGAAAAAATAAAAAACATTTTTTCTACATTAGCTAGCAAAAAAGAGACAGTGGGAATATTGAAAACAAACAAAAATGCATTTTTTACAACAGCATTGTTAGTGAAGAGTAAAACAAGATCCATTCAGCGTTGACCCTAGCTTTAAACACATTATATCTGTGTGTTTGACTATCTCTAACTTGAACAGACAGAAGGTATCAAAGCCACATACATCCAAAGGTCTCCCAGGATCAAAGGAATTGCAGGACTGCAATGGATGCCCCAAGACCAGGCTAGTTCACTTACCAAGAAGTTCCTGACAGAAGTACATCCAGGCTGACTAACTCTGCCAAACCCCTGTCGCCACAAAATATTTTACCACTGCACTGTCACCCCAGTCCAAAGCAGCTACCAGCCTAGCTCCCCCATCACAACAAAACCAGTCCAAATGTTGGTGACTACACATCTTAAGAGGGACGCACACCCGACATCCCAAAACATTTTTTTTATCTGACTTGAAGAGGGAAGTCTGGGTTTTCTGTTTGCCAAGATGAAAAAACAGAAAAACGCCAACTTACAAAATAATACAAACACATCTTGTTTATTTTGGAAATTATTATGGAATTATAATATATCAGCTAAGTCAGCCATGCACAGCAATATGGACTCAACAGGTTCTCAACCTTTATCCATCAACAAGAAAATGCAGCTCCAACTTAAATGAATCTGCCTATGACCAAAATCAAATAAGTTAGTAAAGAATCCTAAAGGAGTAAATCATGATAATCTAATAAAATTAAAATAACTCAAATTGGCGAAAAAGTTAAATCTATTATATGTGGTTCACATAAGATCACTTTCTTCAAAAAGTCTATTAGTTAATGACTTTATTTTTGATAATAAAATACATTTATGTTGCCTTTCAGAAACATGGCTGCAGCAAGAGGATTAAGTGAGCATAGTCGAAGCAACTGCCTTTAGTTATGTAAATTTTCATATACCCACAAATTCTGGGCAAATAGGAGTAGTAACAATCCTTCAGTCTGACTTACTGACTTACTGGTTATTTCAAAGTCAGTTAATAACAAAACCATTTTGTATCATCCACCAGGTACTCACCTCTCTTCGTTGGGTTCCTGTTAAACACAGAATATAATTTAAAACAGAGGTGTCAAGTAACCAAGTACAAATACTTTGTTCCTGTACTTAAGTACAGTTTTTAGGTATCTATATTTTACTCTTGGCTTTGGTTTTATGTTTATAAATATTTATTTCACGTCATGTGCGCCATTCAATGCAGATCATTGGCACCATCCACATCTAGTAATCATCAGAAGCAAGCAGGTGTTCTTCAAACTGCGAACGCGAATTGTCTACGCCATGCTACAATGTGGGATTCAGAAGATGTTGAAATATGTTGAAATGTCTAAAAGGTCGGAAACACTGGTGAGACCAACAAGACCTCCCTCATCCTTGGCCCTATCTCAAAGAATTTTTGAAATAGTCAAAAAATTTTGCTTTAAAATAGTGGCATCTGGCTGTTTTTTTTTAAAGGTTACTTTATACTTTTATACTTTAAGTAGTTTTTGGAGAACATACTATTTCACTTTTACTTGAGTAAAGAGGTCAAATTGATTCTTCAAGTTTTACCAGGATGTTATTAAACATTCTGGTTAAAGTTGAAGCGAAAACATGCTGGCCCCCTCCTGGCCCCCTGGTACATTTGGTCTAGATCCGCCACTGTTCCTCACCTTCACTAGATGTGGATATACTTTAGTATATTCTGCTGTAAAATTAGTCCTATATTTTCGTTTTTTACTCGAGGATTAAACCTCTGCCGTTTCACAGGATGCACAACTTCCGGGAGACATGGGATGTCTGGTATGAAATTGACCTCTTTACTCAAGTATCTACACTTACAGTATCAATTGCAGTATCTATACTTCTACTTAAAGGGGAGCAGCGTTTTTTTTTTACATTGGCCCTTTGATTTTACGTTATCACATCATGTTCTACTCACCCATATTAGTTTTGTGTCATTTGGAGCTGTTCCGAAGATATTTGGTTTTGTTATATCCAAGTAACGTCTTACTATGTGCAACGAGTTGAAGGCACAAACTAAACTGTTCATAATTTATTATTTATCGTACGCCAGCATTCATAACATGTAGGCGAATCACTGTCCCCCAGACATCCGCGGTTATATTTTTTATATTTATATATTTTTTTTAAACAAAGCGGAGTGTGTATGACGTCATCCGCATGCCGGACTGGAGTTGTGACAGGCAGCCCGGGCCACAGGCGGCTTCGCTCTACCCCTTATATTTATTCGGCTAGCTAATCTGAATCGTTCCATTTCGAGAGAGAGATCATCTGTGGTAATAGCGCTAGACATCTTCCAGGCATGTGAGTAAAACTAGCAGCAGTTCAGCGGACAGGATGAATGAATGGTAGCCGGCGCGTGCGGATGATGTCACATACACTCTACTTTGTTTTTAAAAAATATAGGGTGAGAGGCAGGGGTAAATTCTTGTGGTTTTTAATGAATAAACAAAGGAAACAGAGGCAGGAATCCAAAATCGTACTTAAAATATAAAACTTAACCAGAACCATGGACACATCAGGGGGAAACAATCACGAGGAGCCAAGGTAAGACAAGGTAAGATGAAGTAAGACGAGGAACCAGCACTGAGGAACAGCACAAGGAGAGTATTTATGAGAGACTGAAATAAGAGAGGACTAATGAGCAGATTGGGAGCAGGCAACAAATAAAAACCTTAGAAATCAAATATATCCATAAAATACAACAAAATTGGAATTAAACCAATAAAACTAGAAAACATGGAGCAAAGTAAAACAACAGAACCAAGTCCGTGACAGCTTGATTCTATCTCTATTCTCCCATTTTGCAGTATAATTAATGTTAGTTCAATCTCTTACGTTATGCTCGCTCTCATTTTTCTCATCACAGTAGCTTCATGTGGCCTGGTCCTGTTTGGCTGTGACACCATGCCACGAGAAATATGAGCTGTGCTGTTGTTATCAACAACTTTGTTTATAGATCTTGGAGCTTGGCCTATTTTTTTCAGTGTAGTCCTGTTTCTTTCACTATCACTATCTGTATGTGCTAGCTTCCATCATCTGACATGGGAGCTGGCTGGGAGCACATCTGTATGGGTGTGTGTTTCTTGGCTGTTCCGGGCCGCCTGTGGAGCTGGTAGACAGTTACCTCTTGTATCTCTGCTTCTCTCTGTATGTCTGGTTTCTTCCTATTAAAAGGGAGTTTTCCTCTCCGCTGTCACGACAAGAATGCTTGGTGTGAGAGATTGCTTTTGAGTAAATGAGTCAACAATCAGCTGGTTTTCCTTAGATAGAGAACTTTAAACTAGTTGAATTGTCTTCTTTAAAGTGCCTTGAGATGACGTGTTGTTAATTGATGCTAAATAAATAAACTGAATTGAATTAAAGTTAGATACATTAAGTTAGGCAAACTTAATTCAATTGGTTGTTACCAACCGAAGCAGTTTTTTCACTTTAATTGTAAAGAACCAATTAATGCTGGCAACTATCTCTAGCTGTTTTTGAGTATTTCCTGAACAGGTCACCAGTCCATCTCAGGGCAGCACAGAGAAATACAGGACAAATATTCATTCACACCTAAGGGCAAATTAGAGACATCAATCAACCTAGCAGTTATAGTTCTGGACTGTGGGACGCTGTGAGAGGAAGCTGGAGTAAATGGAGAGAATCCACACACACAGACTGGTTGTGAGGAACCACACTTAAGCAAGGACAAAGGTGTTCCAAAGCGGGGAGAAAAAATGGATTTAATGATTTCATGGCTAACAAAAGGGTAAACTGTAATACAAAATAAATTAAATAATAAATAACATGGATTTGGGCCCAACTCAGCTGAGGTCAACTGAACAGTAACTAACTGAAACAAAAAACTATACAAGGGACATACAGTATAACAAAGAAACACATTAAAAAAATCCATACAAAACTAAAACATTAAAGAAATAAAACAACTCTTTAACTTAGCACAAATAAGTGAATATTAAAGTGAAAAAATAGGTAAGGTCAACTTAGACAAAATTCTTCTCTCAGTCCTTTGGTGGTATGTTTCTGGCATCCACCTCCAGCTGGTCTGCATTTGCAGAACCTCAAAGAAAAGAACAAGTGTAAGTGAACCATTATGACACATATTACCTGAAGCGCCCGTTAGAAAATATACTTCTAAACAGAATAACTCACATTCAATTTGGAGCTAAATGTAAATTGTGAAAAACAATGCACTTGGTGGTGATGGTAAAAGCATCCACCACACCGATGAAAATTATTTAAATAAAAATTTGTTTTCATTGGAATATTCAACTATGTATGTATTTATTTTATATCTATCTAACAACTTTTTGTTATTGCCCTGCAACATATGTATTCAGAGCAACGAAATGCTATTGAAAAAAAAAATTTAAATAAAAAAGGTATATATTGATGCACAATATGTTCTAGAATTTCACAATATGTTCCACTGCAGTCCTCAAAGGACGGGCTACTACAACTTGAAGATATGTCATTGGTCCAGCACACCTGACTCTTGTTACTGAGTAACCTCTGTAGTATGCAGGTTCTCTAAAGGGCCAGTGGATCATCTCATATTTAGATTCATGTTTGTTGGACACGGAATACATCATTAAGTGTCAGGGCACCAGCCTTCAAGCACTGGATTTGCTTATCCCGTATTTCACTCTCTAACGTAGCTCAAAAGGTTTTGCTTTCTAAACTAAATCCTGCCTCTATTCTCATAACAGCAAAAGCTGATGATATGTGTGGTCGATGCTGAACCCTGACTAGTATCATAATTATGTGTGTGGGGTGGTGGGGGGTGGGGGGCAGTCTCACAGATCAGCTAATTTACTTTGGACTTGTGCTGGATGTGTAAAAGACCCCTTGATTAAAAATAAGTTTGCAAGCAATCGGAAAACAGATAAGATATAATCTTTGCTTCTGAATAGATGAATATACCCCCCACCCCTCCCACCCCCAGAGACCAATGTCAATCATTTAATAAAACCTTAATAGTCAATTCAACACACAAAAAAAACATTTAAATAGGTGATTTATAAAGAACTTGTCACCGGAAGCCATCATCAGCATCCCCGGATAAAGCTATCCTGTGGTGGATTGTGTTTCATGAGGCTGATTCATAAAAATCCTCCGAGCTCCTTCTCAGCAGACTCCCCCGCCTTAGAGCAGCAGCAGCTTCAGCACCTCGGATAGCGAAACTCTCTATAGGCTCGCCAGCCAGCTATGGGCCAATGACCGCAGCGATCAGGTTGTGCTGGAGCGCCACAAGCATCCCTGAAGCAACCAATCAGAAACCGCAGCTTCCCCTCCCACGTCCAACCCGAATAACTGCAGATGCCCGCATCCAAGCAAAGCTCTCTGTCTTCCCGTCCATCTATTTTTGGATTACATTGATTGCCTCCTCTATACTTTTCAGCGTTTGTGTCCATTTAGGTTTTTAGATAAAATCTTATTGCCTCACTTCTTTCTGAAGAAGGTCCGTCTGCGGATTGAGCAACAGCCTCGGCCGACCATATTATATCGCTTCTTAATGGAAGACATCTTTTCTCTCGTTCCGAGGCGCATTTTCGCTGCTATATTGGGCCCGTATTGCCATCGACGAAGGAGAGACCCTCAGTGAATGAAAGAGGGGTGGTAAGACCACCAAGTAGAAAAGCGTGTCAGGCTCTGATCTTTAGGTTATCACCGGGAACGGAAGCCGTTTCACCGTTCCCGGTGGCGCGGTGGATGCCGATAGTGGGCAGATCTTTTACATTCTGAAAGCAGTGGCCACCCAGAAGGAAGAGAATCAATGGATCTCATCAAAAGAGGGGATTAACTAGAAGGTATGGAAACACAGAGCTGCGCCTTTTCGCATGCAAGACAATGCAACTTGGTTTAATGGGGAACAAATCATTTCTATTTCTTATATGTGTACATGTCAGGTTAGGGCAGGCGCACCGCGGCTGCCGCTGGTGTGTGTGTGTGGGGGGGGGGGGGGGGAGGGGGGGTATTCAGGGCTTCCATTTTGAAGCTAAAATGGATGCCTGCGCACAATTGTTTTTACTGCCTCTGCATGTGCCCTTTTCTTTCTTCTTATATAATTCCAATGATCACAGGCGGTTTGTGTCATGGCAACAGAAAGCAATATGCATCATAATTGTTTACATTAAGTATACCTTTAAATTGTTTGGTTTTATTATGTATCTCTCAATAATAGGGTGGAATATTATATTTTATTATTATTTATTTATTATTATTATTATCTTCTTTAAATTCAGATATACAGTACCTTCTTTGGGTAAGGGAAGAGGTTCCAACAGAAGATTTGCTGTATAGTTGTTAAAATGGCACACTCAGTTTAAATCAAATGCTATCCCTGTAGTACGATGTAAATTAATAAAAATGCATACGCAGAATTATATAAAGGAACGTTAGAGAGACCATGATAAATGTAAAACATGTGCATCTGCACTAAATTAGCTCCCCAGCTCTGCTTGATGCAGGAGGCTACATATATCTCTTAAATTTTTAGGCCTGCCTTTTAAAACACTTTGTTTCACACTAATGAGCAAATGCACAATGAATAGTACTGAAAAAAATCTAACTGTATAACTTGATAAAATGTTTGTTGCACTGCAACCAAAACCTTTGGTTTATTCATGATTGTACATAACACTAATGTTCATGCATTTTTGGATTAGTTAAAATATTCAAAGTGAGGTAAGCATTGTATGTATATCAATGGTTACCATGGTGATTAGATGTTCGAGATCGGCTTGTTTTCCAGTGTAGTCCTGTTTCTCTGACTGTGACTGGCTGGATGTGCTTCTTCATCCTCTGACGTGAGAGCTGGCTCGGAGCTCATCTGCTTGGTTGGTTCCTGGATGGGCCGCCTTTTACAGCTCCTTTTTGTATCTCTGCTTCTGTCTCCTTGAACCCCAGTCGGGCTCGACAGACGACCACTCACACTGATCCTGGTTCTGCTGGAGGTTTCTTCCTGTTAAAAGGGAGTTTTTCCTCTCCACTGTTGCTACAAGCATGCTTAGTGTGAGGGATTGCATTCAATCAATGAGCCGATGCAATCTACTGGTTTTCCTTAGATAGAAAACTTTGAATCAATTTGACTGTATGATCTGATAAACTGTAAAGTGCTTTGAGATGACATGTGTTGTTAATTGACGCTATAGAAATCATTTCTTGTTACTAGATAACAAGAAAAACTTTATTTAATAATTACCCCAAAAGTAAGGTATATAACTTCAAAGTAATCACCTGCATGTAAGTATTGCAATTGCATATTACTTCGTAACAATGGAGAATTTTGGTGAGTAATTAACATCAGGTTACCGCATTTCATTGCATTGTTAAATGTAAGAGATGTACTGAGATAAAAAAAAATCAACAGATAGACAGGAAAGCACATTCACCATCCATCGGCCTTTTGATTTTGAAAGAATGGTAATGAGACGGAGCGTGTTGCAAGAATTTGTGGAACCTACGTTCAGAAGCTGGAAGTCACAAGCCACCTTCAGTGAGTTGTGTAGTTTACCTGATAGGAGCAGCTTATTCGTTTATAACGAGAGGAAAAATTGTGTTTTGGATACTCGTATAAAGTAGGCTACATATTTATAAATATTCAGATAAGGATCCTTTTTTACTGTAGATGATGTATGAGCTTTATTAGTTTCAAAGTTTGTACTTCTTACATGTATTCTTAAAAAAACAACAACACAAATGTCCAGGTCCCTTTTCAAAATCAGAATCAGATCAGAATCAGAAATACTTTAATAATCTCAGAGGGAAATTACTTTTATTACACGCTACAGTTACAGTTTTATATATATATATATATATATATACATCCAACTACACAAGATAATAAAGATAAAAATACAAATAAAAAGATAACAATATATACACATATAGCTCTTCTGTGTATATATATATATATATATATATATATATATATATATATATATATATATATATATATATATATATATATATATATATATATATATATATATATATATATATATATATATATATATATATAGATATGTATATAGCCTGTATTCTTAGCCTGCCTCCTGTCAGGAGTTATGTGCCTTGCTTCCCCATATGTAAAAAGTTACAGTTTTTGATCACTTACAAATGGAGTCCCCCCATCCCTCACTGAGGTCTAGAAGCACAAGACTTACATCCAGCCGTTCAGCAAAGATAGTACTACATGGATGTACATCTTATTTTGGCGTTTGATGAGTTAGATGAGCCCTTGAATGATGCTGTAAATTAAGTTGGAAAAAAGTCTTAACAAGTCAAGAAAAAAAGGTAAAAAGCTAATTGAAAAGTTAAACGTAAAGTAAAATAAATGTATAAGTGCAGCATTAATGCCCTTAAGGTTATGTTGTACCAAAAAAAAAAATGTGTTTCTTTTACTCTCTGAGTGTTTTTCATGAATTTGCCATCAAAATATCCAAAAATTTTTTAATCTTACAAAGGTAATAAGGTCTTTTCCTGGATTTCAATGACACTATTGGCTGAACATTTTGATTTTCAAAGTATTTCACTGAGTGAATAAAGGGTTAAACCATGAAAAAAACAATACTAGTCCAAGAACTGAGTGCTTGTATGGTTTAAATACTTTTTAAAGAGTGAAAGGGTAACTAAGAAGATCCATTGTTATTTCTTATGGATGCTATCTTCATATTACTTTGCAAATGTTTTGGTAAATTTGTTTAAATCTACAATATTTGGCTGAAAAACATCTTAGTGTAGCCCTCTATGTGTTGACACAGGGAGCTACGTTGGTATGTGTTTTTGGTCACAACTCTGATTTCTGGTATTTCAATTCAGTTTATTTATATAGCGCCAATTCACACATGTCATCTCAAGGCACTTTCCAGTTCACCAGATCATACAGTCAAATTGATTCAAATTTTTCTAACGTAAACCAGCTGATTGCAATCCCTCACACTATGCATGCATGTACTGACAGTGGAGAGGAAAAACTCCCTTTAAACAGGAAGAAACTTCCAGCAGAACTAGCCTCAGTTTGAGCGTCAGATGGAGTTTTGAGGCAGGTCATATCAAATTCTTTTAAATCCCTGTAAAAGAAGTCTTGCCAATGTGAGGACAGATATGGTCCTGGATGTATATGATGGACTGTGGATGAAATGGTAGCTCTCATAAATATAACTTTGTGTATATAAATGACATTGATATGCGATTTTAAGAACCTCTCCCTATTAATATTTAATTCTCAGCTCATTCATCAGTTGGATCCTCAAATGAATGGTCTGGTTTTCTTTTTAAGACCCAAATTGTGCTAACAGACTGTGACAGAGTGACAGACTTTTTTTTATCAGTAAATAAATCAAAATGACTGGCTTAAAGGTGGGCAGAGACAGAGGACACTGGGTTTATTAAGGGAAAACCTGTTCCCCACCAGGTTTGCTCAGGGAGAATGATACCACAGTAACAGAGAAAGGCTGAGGAAACTCTTTTTGTGAAACGGAAAACTCTGATTTTTCCTGATTTCAGGTATAAGAAACTTAGATTTTTCAGTTAACATGCTGTTTGCAGCTCTTTTGAGATGTGAAAATATTCTGTTGATCAGGTTCTTAAATTTTATTGTGTGAAAAAACAATTAAAATACCACACTGACAGGAAAGTGAAGTCATGAAAAGGTAATCCTAGCTGCTTAAAAAAAGAACAAGACAGAGGCAATTTAAACCCTGCATGTCTCCAGCATTCATTAACTTTGAAACAGAAGGACACTAAAATACACTTGTACAAGTTCTAGACATTAGGGGACTTGATACTCAAGAAAAAAAACTTTTCTTCAGATTTAATCCTTCTTAGCAAGTGGTTGATGAAATCTATCACTGTTACTTTAATAAAGAAAGGAATGAATTGTCACCTTTTTTCATGTTTTTGTCGTTTTTTCTGCTCACAGGTTGAAACAGAAGAAATACACTCTGGCCCTATTAGAGCTCTTTTTCCTCCCCAATCAAAGAGCTTTTATCCTTTAGCCTAGTTGGTCTGTGGAACCCAATCAGTCATCATGGGAACGGTTCTATCACTCTCTCCGAGCTATCGTAAAGCTGCTCTCTTTGAGGATGGTGCAGCCACAGTGGGCCACTACACAGCTGTCCAAAACAGCAAGAATGCTAAGGAGGCTGCATCAGCTAAGTCCCTGAAACGGCCTTCTATTATTAGCGCATTGCCATGGAAACGGATTGTGGCTGTATCGGCAAAGAGGAAGGGTTCCAAGAAGCTCCAAACAGAAGTTGGGGATGGGGGGAAAGGGAGCTCTCCAGAAGGCCATGGAACCACCAACTCAGCATCCAACAGCTTAAAGCTAAAGAAGTCTCAATCCTGCGCTAACCTTACCACATACTCATCCAGTCAGGACCCCTCTGCTACCACCACCACCACTACCTCCTCCCACCTGCCCACCTCCAAGACCGTTGCAAACGTAGCCGCTGTAGTTGCCAAAAAGAATTCCCTCACAGGAACTGGAATCCAGCCTTCCACTGCTGCTGGTACGCCAAAACGGATCATTGTCCAGGTAACCTGAATGTTTGAGTTACATAGTGAAAACATGTGCCCGTTCAGAAAAGATCTAAATTCAGGTGATTATTGTAAAATAAGTCTATATACTCCAAGCGTCTGTCCTGAATTGGTTTTGATCGTCCTTTTTGAGGCTAAATAAAACTCCCAGCACCAGGTGAGATGAGCTGATATAATCAGGTGTGGAGCTGTCTGCCATTGACTTAGCTAATAAATATAATAAGTACTAACCACATACTGATTGTGCTGTAATGCTTTGAGTAAAAAAGCAACAGGCGGATAGGGCTTAAAATTGCAAACACCACCAGCACTATTAGCAAAGACATTTCCACATGTGCCTTGGATGCTTCCTGAGCTTCAGCTCCAGCTTTAGTTTAATAAATTTAGAATTGCTTCGGTTTGTTGACCAATTGTACACAAGCACAGTGATTTAATCCCAAGCATATGATGTTGCTATGGTAAATATGGACAGAAATGCTTTATGTATTAGTAAATTGAGTAAAAAAAATGTACTGAGAAAAATAATAAATGCTACTCCAGCAGGATGACAGGCAGAGTTACTGGCATATAAATTAAAGAAAATGTCATAAAGCCTAAGTATGTACCTTTAATTCTTCTTCTTCTCAGTGACCTGTTTTCTCTTTCTAAAAATTAGGCTTCCACCAGTGAGCTGATGCGTAGCCTTGGGGAGTTCCTCTGCCGCCGCTGTTATAGACTGAAGCGCTTGTCTCCGACAGATCCCGTGCTGTGGCTGCGCAGCGTAGACCGCTCTCTGCTCCTGCAGGGCTGGCAGGATCAGGGCTTCATCACTCCAGCCAATGTTGTCTTCCTCTACATGCTGTGCCGGGACGTGGTCTCGTCCGAGGTAGCCTCAGAGCGTGAGCTTCAGGCCTCGCTGCTCACCTGCCTCTACCTTTCCTATTCCTACATGGGCAACGAGATCTCTTATCCCCTGAAGCCTTTCCTAGTTGAAGCTGAGAAGGAAGCCTTCTGGGATCGCTGCCTGGAGATTATCAACCGGATGAGTGGCAAGATGCTTCAAATCAACACCGACCCCCATTTCTTCACCCAGGTGTTTGCAGATCTGAAGAATGAGAGCAAGAAAGAGGAAGAGAAAACTAAACTTCTCATAGGCCTTGACCGATAAGAAGGATCCGGAAGGGGGTAAGATAAGATGGAAGGATAGAAAGGTGGCTGTTAGGAAGTCAGATGGTTAGAATTGTAGTTTTAATTTAGAAAAGTACCTTCGTCTGGCGTCTCTGTTGATCCAAGATTGACTATATTTTCTGTTTTTAACCCAGAGGGATAAAGTTTTCATTAACTAATAGAAATTAAATGAGCTGAGTCAGCTAAAGTAGCACTTAAGCACAAACAGATGACATGTCGGCAGTTTTACCACATCTAAGCGATGTGGAATGCTGAGGTGGTTTCTACCCCTTCAAACCGATTAGTTCTCTCAGTGTCATCCAATATTTAATTTCTTGGTTAAAGCAATCAAAGTAGCTTGACTTGAAAAAATGTTGGTATCTGATACCAGGCCTTGCAAAAGTATTCCTACCTCTTAAACTTTTACACATTTTGTCAGGTTGTTGCTTCAAACTTTGACATATCTTAGATTTATTTCTGGCAGATAAATTATATGGCGCTTAATGAACTGGGCCTTTTTGACATTAAAATGCATCAGTCTAAACCATTTCTAATGAAGCTCTGAGTTTCTGTTTAGGTATTTTTTAGTGTTGCGCCAATGCCATTTTTTGGCCCAGATACCCGATACCTGGCTGTGCAGTATTGGCCAATACCGATACCATTGGTTTGAAATTGATGTATATGTGTATATATGAAGAACTGCATACTACTTGGATGTAAAATAATTGCCATCATGGCTTTGCCAAGTTGCTGCCTACCTTTGTAAAGCAGGAAAAAGACTAATACAAAGTCAATTCAGTAGAAGTTTTTATTGCCTACCTGGAATGGGTGACAATAGTTGAATAAACTTTTGGCTCTCAAGATGGTATCGGTGCCCTATTTGTTAGTACTCGCCGACACTGATAATACCATTTTACGATACCACAATTTTAGTGCAGTGCTGCTTTTGGTATCGCTGCAACACTAGTTTTTTTTATGCTTCAGAAGGTCTTCTGTAGCCCCTAACAATGTTTTTCCCATATAAAGCAAACAGGCAAACCTCATGCAAGGGTAGCTTCCTCTATCTTACCATATAGGTAGAGATTCTCTAGCCCTGCAGAAAAAAACCCAAAACACAACCCCACATTATAATGCTTTGTTTTGTCCAAACACAGCAATTTGCATTTAGTTGAAAAAAAAAAAAAAAAAACATAAATAAGCTGCAACGACAATAATAAACAGAAGTTCTTTTTCACTCGTAGTCAGAGATGGGAATTACTCAAGTAGATTTTTCTGATATTTTTACTTTACTTTTACTACTTATTTTTATGGCGACTTTTTACTTCTACTCCTTACATTTTTACACAAATATCTGTACTTTCTACTCCTTACATTTAAAAAAATTGGCTTGTTACTTTAGTTTTGAATCATTTCAATGGAGTTACCGTTATTATTTTTCACGTCATCAATACCAAATTCAATCTAATTGGATGGGAAACTACGTTGCATTTGACGCACCACTACAAGATGAATCGACAGATTCGGCGGTATTCATTCGTGGCAAATCATTGCAGCTTGGTGGCGGTGGCGTTAGCATAGTAGTATGGACGACAAGATGATTGAAAATGAACACAACGGAGATCTAGTCCTATTGGCAGACATCCATTTAAAATGTAGGCAACGGCATGAAAAAAGTGGTTTCTACTTTTACTTTTATACTTTAAGTAAATTTACAAGCCTGTACTTTGTTACTTTTACTTGAGTAAAGAAGTTTATTCAGTACTTCCACTTTTACCAGAGTATTTTTTAACACAAGTATCTGTACTTTTACTCAAGTACAGAAAGTGAGTACTTTTGCCATCTCTGCTCATAGTGATCTTTAGTATTCAGGCCAACCAAATATCCATAGACTGAAGGACAGGGGTTCATAAGGTTTATCAAAAAGGATAAAAACATTTTTAGTGTTAAAACTTTCCTTACATGGCATTCTGAAAAATGATGCCCCCTAATGATTGCATACAAGCAAGCAGGGGGGCCCTTCGGTGCCAAAGTAGGAGTTTTAATGGGTGTGTCAGGAATTAGAGTGACACAATTTCTTTGACTGACAGACTTAGGCTTAAAGAAACCATGATGGTTAAAAATCTTTACTTTCTTAATTCCCAAGAAACTGCACTGCAGCTGGTAACAAGTGTTTGCTAGTATGCTACATAAGGCTAAAACACACTTTAAAACAGAAATATTTTTTATTTTCTATAAATTTAATTTAGCTTAACTGCAAACTCCCACCTTGCTGCCAACACACAGATACTTGTGACTGCTAAAAACTATCATTATCATTACAATCTGCCATTAATTTAAATTCAGCTACTTTTTATACCAGACCATACCACGTTTATTTGTACAGAGCTTTAAAAGCAACACATAGTTGCCCCAAGAAGGAAAAGTATAAAAAGACAATAAAAGAAAAAAAAGTTCATGTAACTCTAACCTGGCCAGGCTCAGTTTTTTGTTCTAAAACAGATCAGAGAGTCTTATAACGTATAAAAAAATCGAAAAGTAAACTGTAAAGTGTTTCTGAGTAAGATTTCAAACATCAACTAAAGGAGCCCACTTCATACACAGAAGCAGATTGTTCCAAAGCTTTGAACAACAGTTTGTGCAAAGCTGTTTGAACGTACCAACTTCCATCCAGTCTGTACTGGATCAGTGTATTTCTAGAAATATGGTCCAGTTAAAGCTCTGTGTTCCTACCTGTGGCTTTACAGTCGATCACTGTTATGGTACACCCATATCCAATGCTAGGAACACCCAGAACGTTTGGACATGCCCAGTCAGAATGTAGTTCATTGGGTTGGTGTGACCATTACACGGATTGAACTTTGAAGAACTTCAGCTGCACACAAGCACACCAAGCTAGCCTTTCACAAACTTTCAGAAGTTACAGCACCCATAGCCATCCTCTGTGCTACTCCAGGTATTAACCGGCGCTGTAGAAAGCAAAAAGTGATCTAAAAATGTGTAAATATTCCTTGAATTTTCTCTTAATTTTAGCAGGTAAATTAGATGATCAGCCAATGGAATCAGTATTTTTTGTAATGACTCAGAACGCTGAGAGCGAACCAACAGTGTGGAGCATAAAGCGCAGTAGGAGGTACGCGGGCACAAAGACGCATTTCTGCACAAACACGGCTGGGAAAGCAGTTTGTCAGAGTAGAGCGGCTGCACCAGTCTATTCCAGGTTATTTTCTGACCTGCCACTGCTGTTATGATCCATCTGTGGTCATGCAGAATGTGCACCGCTGCACAGCAAGTGGGCTGCGTGACCAAACAAGGCGCTTGTTTAACAGATTACAACATAATGATGCATTTTAAATGTGTGACCGACCACCGGTTAACATTTTATTTAGTCTCGTCTCGTTGAAGAAAACTCACACCCATGAGTCGTGAAGTTTTCATCAACAAAGATCTACGTTTAGCTTGTCAGTTTTCGTTATCTTCATGAAAAAAGCTGCGTCAACTAAATAATTTCATCATTGTCATCATTAACGAAACCAATGCTGCTAATGTAACACTTTGATATACTGTGTACTTCAAGGTATAACGTGACATGATGTTCAAAGAGTTTAAAGGATCTGAATACATTTGCAAGGTATTGTATCATATCTATCATCTACAAAAATAAGATCCTTATACTTATATTAGTCTTTAGACTCAGACACATGCCCCAGTCTGACCTATAGCATGTTTAGGTAAGATAAGAAACATCGTCTGAAAGACTCCATATTGGTTCAGAGACGACCAGAAACACAAATACCCATTTAAGTCAAAAGTTAGACCTTTGACTGTTGTGAATTTACATGCATTTGCATGAAGTCTCTACATGAAACCAAAATACATAACAGACAACGTGTGTCCTCCCTCCATTCTTGTTCTCATAGTCTCGCCCAAGCTCCTTAATTAACAACATAATATGGAATCATTGAAATCAACACTAATATTTCTACCTAGAGAAATCTCCCTTATAAAAATATTACATCAAAAATATATTAAATAACCTGTATTTTAAAGAAACATTTACATTTTATAAAAACCTGAGGAACCAGCAGTTTCGATTTATTAGGCAAAGGTTCCCTTAAGATGTTTACATTTATGAAAAGTGCAATACTGACCCTCCCCCAGGGCACATTTACACAGGGGAACAGATTTATCTTACCCTGCACTTTTACCCACGCTGCATGTTGGTGCTTCACACTGAAAATGGAAGGAAGGAAGGAAGGAAGGAAGGAAGGAAGGAAGGAAGGAAGGAAGGAAGGAAGGAAGGAAGGAAGGAAGGAAGGAAGGAAGGAAGGAAGGAAGGAAGGAAGGAAGGAAGGAAGGAAGGAAGGAAGGAAGGAAGGAAATATTGCACGCTTGATGACTTGTATACCTGTGTTATAAAGGACATCTTCCAGTGTTAAATTATGACCAGTGTCAGAAACCAGCTGATCATCAGAGCACAGGCGAACACAACAAGCATAGATGTGATTTCTCTTCCAGGCAGTTCTTTGACCCTGTTTTCACCACCTGGTTTTAAAGACCTTGGCTGCCAGGCCCCAGTATCCTCCTCTCTCCCACCAATCAGTGCTTTCATCGGCAACAAAGACAGTGATTCCTTCTCTACATTCACCTGCCCTGTTCTGACCCAGTCCTGACCAATCCATAGACCACAAACACTTCGGTCAGGTGACCAGTGTGGCTCTATGTACTGACCAAGCTGTTTGACATGCATGTGTGCTTTGTAGGTTCCCTAGCATGCTGCTTTGTGTTGGACACGCCACACCTCAACATGCAAAAGAAAGCAAGGAGTGGTCAAGCTGAATGACTTGAAGGTACATACGTTGATATGGCATCAGGGGGCCAGAGAACGAGTCCTCTATCATGATGGAAAATGGTGGCTCAGTTTAGAAGTAATTATTTATTGAAATAACAGGTACTAGCCCTTCATTTTAAACTTCAATACCTAAAAGACCTCACGTTTGAAAATTAAATCTACAGAATAAATTTAGCATATAGGCCCTGGCTACACCTCTCTAGATATTTCCTTTAAAGCAGATATTTTTTTCTCTAGTTTGAAAAAAAAAAAAAGCGCTTTGCAGCCTGTAGTATTCTCTAACAAGATGCTGTAATGCCTACTATGGCCCCAGTGGGTGAAAAGGACAATAATATTACATCGGAATTCAAAAGCAGAAGATCTAAAATTTACATGAATATATATAAAGGTGACATTTTCTTTGCTAAATTAAAAAAAAAAAGTTTAGCGACAAAACAATGAGATAGCAAAGTTTTTTGGAGTATGCATTTACCCTTCTGCCACTAGTTGTTTTACAGAGGCCGATTTTATATGCAGCGCCATCTACTGTTAAAAGGGAGAACCGCGATGTGTAGCGTGCAGCTAAAGTCTAGGGGAAAACTTATCAACAAGACTCCCCTCTGGACATTTAAGGAAAAAAGTTTTCATTTTACTATTTTTACTTAAGAACTTGCCAGTTAAACATGGCTTTTAAGGTTATATGGGTCATTTTTCAGCAAAATTCTGTGAGTGTTAAGGTCTGACCTAGGTTAAGAATTCAAATAATTGCTGAATAAACGTAAAGTTGTATAACTTATTCAGCTTACATTTGAAGTCTTACAAAGAGACAGAGGATGAAAAAAGGACAGAAATTATTTCACTCTTGCGATTTCTAGCACAGACGTGATTGTGAGTATGCAAAAAAGTCGGGCACTATGTCATAATTTTTAAAAATGAACAAACATTCAGTCCATGTCGAAAGACCAAATTCTTTTTTGTTTAAAAAGGAAAGCTTTTCTTAGAAAACATATTTTTTAATAATCACCAAAAACTCAGGCTGTATTTAAAGGGGAGGCATTAGTTGAGAATAAAATATGTGTTTGGCAAAATATCTGATTTGTGTGGATGGGCCTTTTGTTAATATACATCTAAGTTGTCACAGGACTGTGGGCTAATTTGTGTTGAAAGTAAAAGGGTATTTTCCATTACCCTTAATGACTTTAAAATAATAGTAGTAAAAATCTCCCACAGAGCCACACAAGACGAGAGAAATGTTTTCACATTATCATCATAGAGGCTTAACCATGATAATTTAATGTAATCAAGACTAACTGTAGCTAATAAACTCTTTCCAATTGTTAAAAAACATCGGGCCTCTCATAAAGGTCAGAGATCTTGTGCCATATCATTATAATGACTCATTTTTATATATAAAACAATAAAAAAAATGGATCATGAGCCAACTCAGTCTCTGAGTCCTGGACAAGAGACTAAAAAAACAACTTTTTTTTTTCATACATTCTGTATCAGAGATGGAGAACGGAAAGAAGGACTTTGAGGCTTGCAAAATATGGAAGCTTGTGTTTTTGTTACGCAATGAACTTGTATGACCTTTGTTAAACGTATGCCAACTTAATAATTCAATGTGTCTATGGATTTTATTCATTTTTGAAGAGGAATTTGAGAATTCTAAATAATAAACAAAATCACAATTATTACATCTGCGGATGGTTTTGGGGGGGGGGGTTAAGACCTATTTCCACATCAGACCTCATAGGTCCAATATGCAGATAGGATGAAGGGCGTCTCTAAATTTCTGATGGATTAATCAGATTAGTAGCATTTCTTTTTTTAGGCATTTCCAAGAGAAGCTGATCCAACTTTTTTTCTACAGGATTGTGGATAAAGGTTGTGCTCAAAGATCAGAGATGCTAAATTCCATGGAACCAACCAGTAAAAATAGAAGTCAACGTAAAAACAAATACCTTGTTTTACTAGATTTCTGTGATTTTGGTATGTCCAACATTTGATAGAGTAATAAAGAATGTGCCATTTTTTGATGAGGTTATTGGAATATAATTAGCCTAAAACTTGTCTACCTTTTCGTTCTGCTGTGGTGATTTTTGTAAAAGCTATATCTAATTAAAATTAGTTCACTTTTAGGCTAATGTTTCATTGTCTCTGGGGATTTTTTTGTAGTCCTACTTTAAAGGCAACAAGGAATACTGTGCTGAAACATTTAGCCATACCAAATGGGTAAAAAATCAACAAGGTTGTTCTTGGATTTTAGAGTTGATGACTCTCTGCACATTAATTGTCATGTGATAAAACATCAGTTTGCAATTTTCAACAGTTTTACATTTAATTACATGTGACAGGAATTTATTGTAAATTCATGCTAGCAGGTTTGCTAAACCATGAACCTCCCCAAAGCGAGCAACTTTTCTCTGTTAGCTTACACTCCCAAAGCTGTAGAGTTTAGCACTAACTCACAGAGTAAATTCGAAAAAAGGAAAATGCAAGAAGTACTGTCACCACTGATCCATCCCGGTAGCATGATCTGTACCATCAACTCATTTGCAAATGCACATCCAGATAAAAATCCGGGTCACCCTTGGTTTTTTTTAGTAAAAAAGACCTAAATTATGTTTTTCCCTCCCCGAAAATAGTAAACATTCTGTGCCCGATCTGCACCGGAAATGGGATCCTATGCTTCTTCCAGGAGCTAACTTTTTCAGCTTTGGATTTAAACATAAATATAGTCTTTTTGAGTTTAAGGTTTCCCTTTTCTGTTAAAATTATGGTATATAGTGAGCAATATAAAGAAAGAAACAACTAAAATGCAGATAAACGTAAATATGTAAATGCAGATAAAAAAAAGCATAAAAAATTGTATCCGAAAAGTCATAAAACATTTTTTTAAAGATGTGTGAGTTAAGGATCGAAATAAGTAATTTTAGTACCATAATTATTATTTTTCGACACCCGGAAGTATATCTGGTTGCGGATGCGGGGATGGATCGGGTAGTGACAAGCACACCACACTAACGCATTGGGTATTTGAATTAAATACCAAAAACTAGTATGACTTTACCTGAGTCGGTCAGAAAAGCTAGTCAGCTGGGTGCCTACTTGAATAAATTTTCTTAGCTCATGAAATATATTTGAAAGCTTTTCATTTTCAGGAACCAAAAGCTTGCAGAAAATGTGCCAAATTTCAGCTGCCGACCTGCGACAGAACAATAATTTGCAATAAATATTTTAAAGCTAGAAGTTATTAAGCTTAAATTGTTGACATTTTAACTCCTCACAGAGCCAGGATGAGAATAAATGAGCACTCAGCGATATGGTACATTCAGTTTGCATTCAGACATCAGGAATAACATATTCTATGTGGGGAAAATCAATATATATTTTATTATTCAACAGGTACAAGATGAAAACTATTATGTGAGCTTCTAATATGATGAGGTTGGTACAGTATCACTCCCTTTTCATTTGTGACTCATGTTGTGTAAAGAAGAATCTTTGTTGAGAAAAAGTCAACGCTACTAGTGTTACTAGAGTGCTAATGCTGCAATATGTTACTATGTGGATGTATGAACATGTATGTGAGAAATAAGAATTATTTGATCAACTGTTACAGTGACTTTATATAAAAATCTTTCCAAGCATTCGGGTTGTTGTTTATTTCTAGGTCATAGAGTTTCATTTTTAAGAACAGAAATCATTTGCCCACAAGAGGGCGATAGTCTTTAACAGAGCAGATTTTATGTATTTAATGTATAACCAAAATGGAGTTTGGCAGAATTTTCTAAAACAGCAAAAAAAAAATATATATATATATATGCTGAACTCAATCAATGATCAAAGGAATTTTGCAACCAAGGCCTATTTCTCTGAAATTATGTTCAAACATATAAATGTACATACATTGTTTAGATTGACATTTATCTTTCTACCCCTTTTATAGAATAGAATAGAAAGTCTGTTTATTGTCCCACAATGGGGAAATTCTGGTGCTTACAGCAGTAAAAAACAACAACAACAAACAAACAAATGTGGACCTTGGAAAAATGTATAAGAATAACATAATAGTTAAAGGATAAACAATAAAATACTGTACTGTAAAGTGTTTTAACAATATATAACACTGCACCTGGAGAATAAATAACCAATCTACAGCTATGGACATTTTTACAATAAAATATTGTATTGTGTTGGGGCAGCAGAGGTTAGTTTTCCCAGCATGCACTGGGCAGCATGTTCAGTATTAGATGCCACCAGTTATTGTAATCAATCTTTTCCAGGTTATTAAGTTACATATTTTATTTGTTACTGTTCTTATGTCTGTTATATCATCAGTTTATGTTATAATCTTAAGTACTTGTTGTCCCTCCATGAGTCTGGAAGGGATGTCCGTTAATCAGTTCTCCTCAGAAGTTATAAATTTGTATATGTGCGTTGTTCGGGGTACGGAAACTACCGCTAAAGTGACATCATCACCCTATTAACTACAGTTGATTGGTAAACAGTGGGCGCTGTATTCAACTCTTTACTTCTTGAGGGTACTCTTTGATGAATAATATAAACAGCTTGGAAAAGTTCGTTATTAATTATCTTCCTTAGTGTCAACAATCACGGTTGCTAAGCGGCAGAGCATACAGCGGTAAAAGCCGCTGTATGCTAGATCTGTTTGAACTCACAGCCTTATTTTCACAGACTTCGAAGGATTCAGTCCAAGGACAGCTATGTCCTTGGGCAAAACACCTGACTCAAAATGGTGAAATATTGATGGTCTTCAGAGAGCCTTGGTGTTCCTGTTTATAGCCGTAGGGAAGTTATATTTAAATTTCAAATAATTCTGGCTTAAACATGTATATAAATGTACGCTTTGTCATAAGATATTGTCCCGAAAGTTAGAAAAAAAAAAAAAAGAATCCTGTCTTAAAATCTGCGGGGGTTCTTTCATTATCTCATGCAGGCCAGTTAGTTATACGTCAGCTTAAACACCTAAATTCAGCCAATCATATATAAAAAGGTCATTTGTCAATCAATTTTTTTCAGTCATAGCATCTTGATTCATATGTTGCAGCTAATATATGCAACAATTGAAATAAGAAATAAGAATCATTTCCTTTCCCATTGAGTTCCGTCCCAGTGTTTACAGGGATGGACGTCTGTGTCTTCAGCAGGCATAGAGCTAACAGAGCTGGCAGCGTTGTGAGGCAAGGGCTCAAACATGTACGGCTGGAAGCAGAGGCGATTCTAGAGTCTGTGGGGGCCCCAAGCAAAAAATCCTAGGGGGCCCTACTGACCAGTGTTCATCACCATTATGTTAGGCTATAAATAATCTGACACCAATGAAAAATGTATTAAATAAAACCTTTTTTTATTCCAAATGTTTTAAACATGAACAACCTTGTTATTTTGGAAAATATAAAATAATAAAAGTAAAGAATAAACTAATAAATTAAAATAAATGTATAATAAAATAAAAAAAACAGTAAATTACTTTAAAAACCCAATATAAACTTTGTACAAAATATAAAGTATAGTAAGTGTAGTGAAATTATTGGGGTCCTATACTGCTTCCAGAATTGCTGCTTACGGGCCTTCGCTTGTGCAAATGCAGACACTAAGGCCCCGTCCACACGAAGTCAAAACGAACACGAAACGCTAATATTTTCCAGAACGTTTGTCGTAAAGACAGAGACGTAAAATAAATGTGATCGACCACACGAATGCATGAAAACGCTGCAAAATGTATGCCAGGCCTGTAAGTGGCGCTGTGGTGCCAAAGCAAAAATAGGCGACGAAATGTTGGGCATGCGCACTAATATTTATACATGGTAGCCCTGCGGGTCCATTTTGGTGGTTCAGTCAAATTCAGGTGCTGAACTATGTGGTCGATATTGCTCTGTTCTTCCTGGAGATATTCCAGAAGAAGAAGATTCTGTTGTAAGCCCGACAGCAGGGTGAGTAGCATTAGCAGCAACCATTCAACAAAGTACGGCGCCATTGTTGTTGTGATTCTGTGTCGCGCATGCGTGTTTAGAGGCGACGCTATGACGCATGCGTGTAAAAAAAAAATGCGGTTAGAGCTTAAAGATGGAAACGCGAAAACGGCGCTTCAGAATCTTCCCACTCTGATGGCTGAATAAAAAAAAGATCGTTTACAGACCCCCGAAACGCCGGCTTCGTGTGGATGAGAGGCCGGTTTGGTGAAAAATTTGTGCATTTAGGCCAGGGTTTGACTTTGTGTGGACGGGGCCTAAGTCCTCCAGATCCAAAGACCTTCGCACACTATACTCTATGGAAATAAGCGCCAGTCCTGAAAGTCTCTCTTGAGACATGGAAAATGAATAATTTTCCTTCAGCTTAGTTACATAATTGCTTTCCAATTTACTGAACGATAGGCCTACAACGTCACCCATTCGCTAGGCTACGTTCATTTTCATTAAGGGAAGTCATCCACCTGGGCTGGGCTGGATTTTGACTGGGCAAAGCCAATGTCAATCAACATTCAATCCAATCGGAATTTTTAAATGTAGTTGTGCATCTCCTCAGTCACTATAGCGTTGCCACTTCATGTTCGTCTGTTGCTGTTTATCTACCGGGTGTACAGTAGCTGTCTCTCAGGGGCCCCCCAGCGGCTCGGGGCTCCAAGCAGTTGCTTGGTTTGCCTGTTGACAAGGTGCGCCTCTGGCTGGAAGCCTTCTACACCAAACCAAGCTTTCGCTGCCCTGGCAACATCTTCGTCCCCGCTTTCCTCCTCCTAATAAAAAATGTATGACCAAGCGGCATTCATGTTTTAAAAATATTAACATCAGCTCTTCCCCGACGGCATGGTGGGAATTTCTTAAAATGACAAAGTCATCACCCATGCAGTCGTACACCCATCTGGAATAAATCTGACATTCAATAAAACAATATTATGATAAACTTTCCGTACTGGAAGAATAAAGGTATTACATATTTGGATAATTTTATTTGAAGGAACGGAGTTTATCACATTTGCTTGATTAAATTTGCAATATGGCATTAACAAAAATAAATTCTTAGAATATGAACAAATTAAAGCTATAATTGGAAACAAATTTAACCATATTGATGGATTATCAGTCAGTTTTGAACAAAACATCTGGGCTCAGATATGTCTAAGAACTTTTAACATGACTTGAAACCCCAATTTACAATTATTACAATACAAAATCCTCCACAGAGTGCACTATACAGGTCAAAGATAATTCAAGATGGGTTTTGCACAATCTAATATCTGTCCACAGTGCACAGGCAATCATCTTGATAATTATATTCACGCGTTATGGTTATGTACGCCGGTTCAGTGGTTCTGGGTACATGTACGTAAGGACTTATCACTGTGTCTGGGTTGTACCCCTGGTGCAGGCTTCGTCCGGGGTGGGGGTTCTGTATGGTGTGTCCCCCACTCCAATTTTATTTTGCATTTTAGGCACTTTGATCTACAACATTTTCACAACACACATCTATGTAAGAGAGGGGGTGGGGTGTGGGGGGGCTTTATTTCATGGGCCTCACCACGGTCGGCTCCCCCAGCCCCTCTCGCATTTAGACATTGAGGGTTCTGGGTTGTCGATTGGGGGGGATTGCGATGGCATCAAGACAATTATTCTTATTTCCACATCGCCAAACAGGACACTGTTAAAAAATGTATGATGGAGGAGAATCATCCAAGTCCTCCAACACAGAACTCTCCTCCTCTTGCATGTTTCCGCTGTCCATAGCGTTCCTTGACAGTTCCTTGACTTTGTGCCAATGAAATTTCCCATTGGGAACCTACTAGCACTAAGTTACTAACTGGTTAGCAAGATGCTTCTGAGATACCGGCAACAGCCAAACTTGCTTGCAAACCTTCTGCCACATCAAACTGATGACTTTAAAGCAACCTCGCTTCTGTCAGCTTGCCCAGGGAAGCTGTGGATAAAATGTTATTAAAAGCATGAGATTAATTATCACTAATATTTTAATGATACTCAGCTAAAGATTTCCATAAATTCTGATAAATGTTACACTATGGTGTTGTGTTAACTTTTAAAGGAGAAGTCTGGTCAGCAAGTAAGAATCAATGGATTATTATCTATACCTAAAACTAATACGTTCACGATGATGTAAGGAAATTAGTGTTAATGGGTAAAAGAGAAGTAAAAATAATTTTTGTCGCAATCACTGAGTCTGGGACCGGCCATCTTTGCCTAAATATAGTAAAACCTCACTCCTCACATCTTCCGGTAGTGACGTCACGGTTTGGTAAGCCTAATGCCATGCTCCCCGCTTTACAAGCAAAATCAATGGGAACTAATTGACACATCTGCAATCAACAACAATTATTGAAGATTTCCAGAGGAGGTCACCATTGAAATTTGCGACAGCAATAGTTAAATTGACAATATCCACGTACATGGCAGTTCGATGTTATTTTTGTAAAAGTGAAAATTTGAAGAGGGAGGATTTGCCATTAAACTTTTTGCCAGAGAAAAAACACATAATAGGTAGAAGAATGTTTTCAAGATGACTTGGATAATTGTGACAAACACCAGATACCGCACCTGAGCTTGATCAACAGTTGTGACATCACAACTGGTAGGTTGTGATGGTAGGTTGCAGTAGTGTTCTTTGACAAACATAGATGTCTCTGCTAAAGCACATTCAAATGAAAATTATTCTTAATTAAAACACTTATCTTTTATTGAACAGTTTCATTTTTAAAGTACTTTCAGAAGTTTGACTTCTGAATATGACCAGAGTTTTCCTTTAAAACTGTACACTAATGTTTTAAACATTCAACCCTGATAGTTTTTTTTTTTACATCTGTCTTCTGTGGAGCAAAATAGACACTTTAATAGTGTTGAATTTAACTACCTAGGAGTTGAATTACACGTCTTATTTTGCTGTGTAGGAACTGTCAACAGATCTGTACAATAGGGATGTGCATTATCATGCTGCAACCTGACGTGGCGGTTGTGGATAAATGGCATAACAATGATAAATGGCCTGTACTTGTAAAGCACCTTATCAAGATAGGGGACTCTAAAGCACATTACACCACACTCAGACATTCAACCTGATAGTGGTGAGCTATAAGTGTGGAATCCTTGCCTTAGTGGTAAAGATTCCCAACACCAATACTCACAGACCAGAGGACATATGTAGCATTTTAAATATCACTCATGAATCATAATTACACTTTAGTTAATCCATGAAAAAAATACAACTTACAATAATCCTTAACAAAAACAAATGTTGCAATCTCTTTCAGTGGTAAAGTAATTTAACTGAACCATAAAACTGCTTTGCAAAATTTTATTTTACCAACAAATTCATTCTTACTTACCTAAATGAAAGCTAGTGTAACCAGATGTCTTTTGAGGTTGCCTACTGTAGTTTCTTCCAAAGTCATCTATGAACTGGAACCCCCTCAGGGTTGTGTTCTCGCCCCACCTCTCTTCTTCCTGTACGTACACAAATGATAGCACTTCAGCAGGCACATCTGTGAAACTCCTGAAGTTTGAAGGTGGTCTGATCAAGGACAGTGAGGAGTTTACATACAGACCAGAGTTGGTTAGACTGGTCTGCTTGTGCACTCAGAACCACCCAGAGTTTAAACTGCTCAAGACTGTGGATAATAATGTAGACGTCCATAGAAATTTCCTCACACTGCCTCCTTTCACCGCCCTGAACAATGCTTTATCGAGTATCATATAACCCTAGTTCTTGCAATCCAATGTTTTTTGGAGTTGGTCCTCATATATAATCATGCTTCTGAAGTTTCCTGCAGTAACTCAGGATGTGCAGCCTTCACTACCGGGGCCCCAGAGTACTAAAATGCTCCACGTTTGTACATTCCTTAGTCCCCTACACTGTGCATTTTTAAAACTTGTCTGAAAACTTGCTTTTACTCTCTGACCTTTAAACCAACTGAGACACATCACATCTCCACATGCCAAATGCATGTAGGAGGAGTGAATCGTGCAAAGTCAGTGCCTTGAGGCTTTCAATTAGATGCAAAACCCCAGACTTTTAATTAGATGCCAAACTTTGAACCAATCTGACTGTATGATATACTTGAATTATCTTTTTAAAGTGTGTTGTGCGTTTGATGCCATATAAATAAAAAAGATCAATAGATTTGATTTCTTTAGATTATTTATTAATGTGAGATTATTTTTATTATCTTATTCCTTGTTATTTTTTTGGTTTTGGTGTTCAACACCTTGTTTCAGCTGTGGCTGAGGGGTGTGGGAAAACACTAAGTACTGCACTATCTTAACTTTTTCCCCCCATTTTGACATGTTACAACAGAAGCAGATCTTTTAGTTATCAGGCTCCTCTCCTGAGGAACCAACTAACAATTTTAGTTTGTTAGGCAGACACCCTGTCTACTTTTAAGGGGAGGCTTAAAACTTTCCTTTTTGATAAATCTCATAGTCAGTGTGGCTCAGGTTATCCTGAGCTATATCTATAGTTATGCTGCTATAGGTTTAGACTTTTGGAGGACATAGGGACCCCCATTTCATCATTCTGCTTCATTCTATCTCTATTCTCCCACTTTGCAGAATTTGTTAGTTCGTCTGTTCCTGTTTGGTTTGACTCCATCCTGGGGAGAAATATCAACTGTGCTGCTGCAATCAACACCTTTGTTTATAGATGTTGGAGATCTGCCTGTTTTTCTGTGTACTCCTGTTTCTCTGACTGTGACTGGCTGGATGTGCTCTCTTCATCCTCTGACATGGGAGCTGCATGTGTGTTTCCTGGACAGAGCCGCCTATGGAGCTGGTTAACAGTTACCTCTTGTACCACTGCTTCTGTCTCCTTGAACCCCAGTCGGACCTCAACAGATGGCCGCTCACACTGAGCCTAATTCTGCTGGAGGTTTCTTTCTGTTAAAAGGGAGTTTTTCCTCTCCACTGTCGCTACAAGCATGCTTAGTGTGAGGAATTGTATTTGAGTCAATGCAATCAAGTGGTTTTCCTTAGGTAGAAAACTTTGAATCAATGTGACTGTATGATCTGGTTGAATTGTAAAATTCCTTGAGATAACGTGTGTTGTGAATTGACGCTATATAAATAAACTGAATTGAAATCAAGCATCTATTATGTTTTGTTTTATTTAATAGCAGATGTATCTGTTTATTATAGGAATAATATTTTTGGCAAGTTGTTTTTCATGGGTACAAGTCAACTTTTTACTTCACCCCCAAATGCATTTTCCTCACAACTGTGGCGCCATCAACAGGAAACATTTCAGCTTTTCATTTTCATGTAAGACATTTTCCGGGGATGTATGTTACAACAAATACAGTGGCGTAATTATTTTTGTTTTTCTATTATAGTTACCTAAAACACTTTACGTATACGTTTTATGTTCGCAACTTTATTTCTTTAGTCTTTGACAACATTTATTTTATAGTCAGCTTCAATTTAATCAAAGGTGTGAAAAGTACTAACATTCTTTGGTTAAGTAACATAACAGATACCCGTCTATTAAAAGATAAGAATTAGCTTATGATTCCCTTTTTCTTTAAGGGAATTCTAGGAATATAGCTAATTTATTACTGTGGAATTACACATTAGATTAATTTGTCATAAAGCAAACCATGTTCTACACAACATAAAACAAATTCATAACATGCATTGTCAGGATAATATCCAAAAGGATTTTAGGCTAAATATCAAAACATCTGACCCTCTATCTGCACTATAGAAGTCAATTTAAACATAGCAGAACTATGGAGTTTAACTATGAAATGTGATGATAGGAACCACAAACAATACCATCTATTTGCAGATAGTCACCAATTTTGGTCAGAAAAGTTAGACCCAATAATCCAATGGAGATATATATATATATATATATATATATATATATATATATATATATATATATATACATATATATATATATATATATATATATATATATATATATATATATATATATATATATATATATATATATATATATATATATTTATATATATATATATATGTATAAACTCTTCTTCCGTGGGCGTTCCCCCCCTTTTTTTCCTCCAAGCTTGGGTCCTCTGCCAGAGGACTGGGAGCTTGAGGGTTCTGCGCAGTATCTTTGCTGTTCATAGAACTGCACTTTTCTGGACCAAGATGTCTGATATATTTCCGGGGATCTGCTGTAACCACTCAAGTTTGGGGGTCACTTCCCCGAGTGCCGCAATGACCACGGGCACCATGGACATTCTGTGAATCATTGTTTTATTGTACCATAAAGTCGATATTTTTCTACCTGTTATATTAAAAAAAAAAAAAAAAAAAAAAGGGTAATTATCATCATATAATGACCGAATGCGAGTTACCTTATATTTTGTGCCAAGTTTATGACACTGGGGCCAGAGGTGCTGTCCGTGGTGCTGACTTTGTGTCAGCAGCTCTTATAGTTTCTTTCGTTTAGAACAACGTGTCTGTTCAGCACAGATCTCCGTTCATGGTCCTGAAACACAACAGGAAACCACGAGTTAACCAATCGATCAGGCTTTTTATTGTTTGTTTGTTGTTTTTTTGGTCTACCCTGCTCCTCTCTGACACAGTTCGCTGTGCTGCAGTACTGAACGAATGCTCAGACCATCTCCTCCCTCCTGTTTCCATTAGCACGCTTCCGCTTTATCGACCAATCAGAGTGCGATGCGCAGCAGCTTATAAAGAGATCTGCCGTCGATCTGTTCACCCCTCTGTCCCCGCCGTCCTATGAATCTCTGAGCCGAGCCGCATCCCCCAAATCTACCGCAACCGTTAAGATGGCGACCCGGGTAAGAGCTTTATTTCTTTTCTTCACACCAAGAAAACGAACACACTCAGTAACTGTACGGAAAGCAGGAGGGCTACCACGGCACAAGATGTCGGTTAAGCCTAATCTCCTGTGAACCTATAGAGCCACCCAGCATAATTTCTTCTGAATGTCACTGTGACTGCAGCAAAGGAGTGTTTATTTCATTTGATGTGATCCCACAGCCCAGTTTACCTCCATGTTAGGGGGATTTTATTTTTTCTGCATGGCCTCAGTCTGCTCACAGCTGCCAGCGTTACCAGAAATCCAAGGATTCGCTTGTCCTTGAGCTGCAGCAGCTTCCTGCTATGCAGGATGGTCATGAAATAAAGAGGCAGGAGATTGGTAGAAAAACAGCCCTTTTAGTTGTATGGAAAATGCTTTTCTACTGTCTGCCTCTGATCTGTGGCGCTACTGGAGCCGCGCAGCAGCGCATAGCTGAGAGTTGGACGGTGCATGTTGATTTGACTGGTTGTTGCCAAAGGGACAGGATGTTAAAGGTTGCTGTTGTTCCACCTGCCCCACTATCACTTTCATCAAAGGCCCCTCCTTGCAGCCCACCAGTGAAAGGATGCTTTCATTACAAGACGCGCCTCTTTTTTTGTTTCAAAGCCTCGTAGTCACACCACCATTAAGCAGAGATTATATAATTGCTCTTTATTCCCGAATATAAAATATATTGATATGTTTTGCTCCCCATGTTTTAATGTAACGTACTGAATGAATCCCACAGGGACATTTAACTACCTGCTCTATGTGACTCCAGGATGTAATAAATTAGATGTATAAAACTATATTTTCCTCTGAACCTAACCCCCCCCACAAGCATTCTATATTAAACTTTAGATTTAGTTCTTATTGTTCTTTTTCGTCCAAAAAAACATATTACTTTTTTCAAATGGGGAGGAGAATACCCTCACATGTTATATACAGTGTGAAGTTAACATATTATTTCACTGTCAATGAGGCAATAACAGATTAAAATCACTGTTCTTTTTGCATCGCATATTCTTATTTTCTATTTGAATCAGCAATATGCCACATTTTTGTCATCTTCTCAATGCAGATATAATGCACTGTCATGATGCTAACATCAGGGCTAATATAGTTCAGGGTTACCTCATGTAGATATGCAGCAGTTTTCTTTCCTTCCAAATATGGTATGCTTTGCAGATTTGTTTAATAAAAAGTTCCTCAGCTATTGCTGATTGCATTTAGTCATTGACTTTGCAAAATGTGTACTCTTAGATTAAAGTGTAACTGACTTTGCAGCAATCACCAATAATGACCATTTAGGTAAAGACATTGGAGGGGAAAACCACCTTATAAGAGGAAGTGACCTCCAACAGAACCAGACTCAGCGTCAACAGCCTGTTGTCATTATTGATTACGGTTGTAGATTGAAGGCTTTTCTTTACCTTTGTGTAGTTATCAGCTTCACTCAGTGGTGCATTGTAAGTAAACAAAAGTGAGTATGATGATAGCTGTTCTGTGAATTTAAGCATAACGGCTGGGCCTATTATCACAATAGCCTGTTTTTTTTACGGCTTGCTAATATGCTATGTATATATGGAGTTAATTTTGTTCCATTATTGTTGGAAGCTGGAACACATTTTGTAAATTTAATAAATTCAAAAGATAAAAAACAAACAATTGAAACAGAAAAACAACAAAGAAGTCTGTAAATTGAAAAATTTGAAGAAAAAAAAGCATTTCCGAACTGAAACTTTTGAATCGAAAAACGTTGTAAGAGTAACTAGTTTTACAATATATATACATATATATATATATATATTGCAAAACTAGTTACTCTTACAACGTTTTTCGTTGTAAGAGTATATATATATATATATATATATATATATATATATATATATATATATATATATATATATATATATATATATATATATATAAATATATTGCTCCATGTGAATGGTCTACAGAGATTGCAAAAGTACTCACTTTCTGTACTTGAGTAAAAGTACAGATACTTGTGTTAAAAAATACTCTGGTAAAAGTGGAAGTACTGATTAAACTTCTTTACTCAAGTAAAAGTAACAAAGTACAGGCTTGTAAATTTACTTAAAGGAGAATTCCGGTTTTTAACACTTTTAGCCCATTTTCTGTAGTCTCCAGGATGAAATCGAATGATCGACACCAAAATTTTGACAATTGGTCCTGTCTCTGATATTTGGCTCATGCAGAATCCCCCCCTGGCTGCTTCAGAATGGCTTCCATAGTGCATGTCCGATAATGTCCTTAAAACAACCTTAAACGTTCTTTTTTAAAAATATGCTACTCACCGGGTCGTCAGCGCTGTTCAATGACGTTCCCAAAAAAGTTTCGTGAAGAAAAACCCTTCCTGTCTTGTTTTATTTAGCATTTTGTAAATCCCAGAACTCAATGGGATTTACAAAATGCTAAATAAAACACTACAGGAAGGGTTTTTCTTCACGAAACTTTTTTGGGAACGTCATTGAACAGCCCTGACGACCCGGTGAGTAGCATATTTTAAAAAAAGAACGTTTAAGGTTGTTTTAAGGACATTTTCGGACATGCACTATGGAAGCCATTCTGAAGCAGCCAGGGGGGGATTCTGCATGAGCCAAATATCAGAGACAGGACCAATTGTCAAAATTTTGGTGTCGATCATTCGATTTCATTCTGGACACTACAGAAAATGGGCTAAAGGTGTTAAAAACCGGAATTCTCCTTTAAAGTATAAAAGTAAAAGTAGAAACCACTTTTTCATGCCGTTGCCTACATTTTAAATGGATGTCTGCCAATAGGACTAGATCTCCGTTGTGTTCATTTTCAATCATCTCGTCGTCCATGCTACTATGCTAACGCCACCGCCACCAAGCTGCAATGATTTGCCGCCAATGAATACCGCCGAATCTGTCGACTGTTGGGAGCTGGAGAAAATCCCATCTTTCTCCAGCAGAGTCCGCCGTGGATCCTCTGAGGGAGCCTCCTGCACAGGTGCAGCTCATCAAGACCATCAGAGGATCCACTACATAAGCTGTCTTCAGACCTTACCTCAACGCCGCAGTGTTGTTCCAGTTGGTCAGCGCTAAAGCCTTGCTCCTTGTGAATCTCCATGACCTTGAATCCAGAAAGGATTCTAACTTCTCTCTCTGTGTTCCCAGGAAACCCGAGTCTCTTCTGTGAAAGCTCTTGGAGAGCTAACCTGCCGAGCCGACCCTCTGAGCCAGACCCTGAAGACTTTCTGAGAAATCCCAAGCAGCTCAGGACTAGAGCTGGAAGAACCAAACTAAGGTCTGTCCAAGCTAGACGTGAGACGCTGAAGCAGCTACGGACTCTGCTCCAGAACCAACAGAAACTCCCCCAAGGAGAATTACTCAAGAACCCTCAAGGTACTATCTAAGCTCACTTGAAAACAAAGCCCTGCCAGCAGTTCATAACAGCTCTGTCTCTCACGCAGACTCCAGTGAAACCAGGACCCAGGCCCGAACCAGATCCCAGTTCATATTGTGTTGTGCTTAATAAACTGTTGAACTTTTATCTTCGTGTCCGCCTTGTGGTGTTCTGCATAACTGGGTCTCCATTTGAGAACCCATCATGACAGAACACTGCGGCCAAACTCAAGGCCCAGCAGAACATCTCCGTCAACTACTGGAGGAGCGGGATGCCCAAATTCACAGACAAGTCCAAACACTGAGTGAGTTAAATGCTCGCATTGATTTCCAGGATCATCTTGTCCATAATTTCTCCAGTCGTTTGAACAATGCTAACGCTATCCCTCCACAACAACCATTTCCGGGTCCAGTCCCTCCCCCGAGGTCACAACCTGTGACGTCATCAGAGTTCCGCCCTAGTCTCCCAGAGAAATTCTCCGGTAACATGAAAGACTGTAAAGGTTTTTTATTCCAATGCCGTTTGATTTTCATGAACTCCCCTGATAGTTTTCCCTCGGACCACAAGAAAATAACTTTTGTTCTCTCTCAGCTGACAGGAAGAGCCTTGGAATGGGCTCAGGCCAGATTTGCCTCCGACGATAGCTTAAACTGCTATTTCTCCGACTTCATTTCAGAATTTAACCAGGTATTCAACCAAGAAACCGACCAAACAATTGATTCCAGAGCTCTTTTCAACTTAAAACAGGGAAATTCTTCGGTGGCTGAATTCTCAGTTAACTTCCGGGTTAAGGCGGCAGCTTCCGGATGGAACCAAAGCGCCCTGAAAGGAGCCTTTTTCATGGCATTAAATGAACAGATCAAAGATAAACTCGCAACCCTCGACGAACCTGCCTCCCTCGAAGATTTAATTCGCCTCTCCATCAGACTAGATAATAGAATTCGAGCCAGAAACAGTTCTAAGAAGCAGAGTAATTTTTCTCCTGCCTCACCTAACGTGACTGTTGGTTCTCCCTCCACAGAGCAGATGCCCACTCAGAGGTCTAAGCCCCAGTCTCTACCATTGCCTGTCCAGGCCTCTCATTCGGGCGAAAGGGTTTTCGAACCTATGCAGGTGGGACACACCAGGCTCTCTCCAGAGGAGAGACAGAGGCGTTTTCTAAGTAGACTATGTATCTACTGTGGTGAGAGTGGACACTTCATCGCCTCCTGCCCGGCAAGATCAAGTGGCCGGGGCCCGCCAGAGGATCTGAGGAGTCTGGCGGGCCAAATAAACACAAAAAAATCTCCTCGTTTGATGCTTCCAGCCACCCTGTTCTGTGATAACCAGAGTCTTTCTTTTTCCGCCTTCATCGACTCAGGCTGTGAGTGTAATTTAATAGACTCTAACCTCGTCCAGCAACTTCACATAAAGACCGTTCCCCTCTCCCAGCCTCTCAGTGTTTCAGCCATCGACGGAAAAAGACTCCACCGTGTAACCCATCAAACCCAGCCCCTCGAGCTACTTCTATCAGGTAACCACCGAGAGACAATAACCTTCTTTGTTTTTCCCTCTGCATGTTCCCCATTGGTCCTCGGGTTTGAGTGGTTGGAGAAGCATAAT